CAAGAGAACTAGCCCAGGGTATATTGAAGATAAGAGAACTAGCCAGGGTATATTGAAGACAAGAGAACTAGCCAGGGTATATTGAAGACAAGAGAACTAGCCAGGGTATATTGAAGACAAGAGAACTAGCCAGGGTATATTGAAGACAAGAGAACTAGCCAGGGTATATTGAAGACAAGACAAGAGAACTAGCCAGGGTATATTGAAGACAAGAGAACTAGCCAGGGTATATTGAAGACAAGAGAACTAGCCAGGGTATACTGAAGACAAGAGAACTAGCCAGGGTATATTGAAGACAAGACAAGAGAACTAGCCAGGGTATATTGAAGACAAGAGAACTAGCCAGGGTATATTGAAGACAAGACAAGAGAACTAGCCAGGGTATATTGAAGACAAGACAAGAGAACTAGCCAGGGTATATTGAAGACAAGAGAAGAGAACTAGCCAGGGTATATTGAAGACAAGAGAACTAGCCAGGGTATATTGAAAACAAGAGAAGAGAACTAGCCAGGGTATATTGAAGACAAGAGAACTAGCCAGGGTATATTGAAGACAAGACAAGAGAACTAGCCAGGGTATATTGAAGACAAGAGAACTAGCCAGGGTATATTGAAACAAGAGAACTAGCCAGGGTATATTGAAGACAAGAGAAGAGAACTAGCCAGGGTATATTGAAAACAAGAGAACTAGCCAGGGTATATTGAAGACAAGAGAACTAGCCAGGGTATATTGAAGACAAGAGAAGAGAACTAGCCAGGGTATATTGAAGACAAGAGAACTAGCCAGGGTATATTGAAGATAAGAGAACTAGCCAGGGTATATTGAAGACAAGAGAACTAGCCAGGGTATATTGAAGACTAGACAAGAGAACTAGCCAGGGTATATTGAAGACAAGACAAGAGAACTAGCCAGGGTATATTGAAGACAAGAGAACTAGCCAGGGTATATTGAAGACAAGAGAAGAGAACTAGCCAGGGTATATTGAAGACAAGAGAACTAGCCAGGTATATTGAAGACAAGAAGAGAACTAGCCAGGGTATATTGAAGACAAGAGAACTAGCCAGGGTATATTGAAGACAAGAGAACTAGCCAGAGTATATTGAAGATAAGAGAACTAGCCAGGGTATATTGAAGATAAGAGAACTAGCCAGGGTATAGTGAAGACAAGAGAACTAGCCAGGGTATATTGAAGACAAGAGAACTAGCCAGGGTATATTTAAGACAAGAGAACTAGCCAGGGTATACTGAAGACAAGAGAACTAGCCAGGGTATACTGAAGACAAGAGAACTAGCCAGGGTATACTGAAGACAAGAGAACTAGCCAGGGTATATTGAAGATAAGAGAACTAGCCAGGGTATATTGAAGACAAGAGAACTAGCCAGGGTATATTGAAGACAAGAGAAGAGAACTAGCCAGGGTATATTGAAGACAAGAGAACTAGCCAGGGTATATTGAAGACAAGAGAAGAGAACTAGCCAGGGTATATTGAAGACAAGAGAACTAGCCAGGGTATATTGAAGATAAGAGAACTAGCCAGGGTATATTGAAGATAAGAGAACTAGCCAGGGTATAGTGAAGACAAGAGAACTAGCCAGGGTATATTGAAGACAAGAGAACTAGCCAGGGTATATTGAAGACAAGAGAACTAGCCAGGGTATACTGAAGACAAGAGAACTAGCCAGGGTATACTGAAGACAAGAGAACTAGCCAGGCTATACTGAAGACAAGAGAACTAGCCAGGGTATACTGAAGACAAGAGAACTAGCCAGGGTATATTGAAGACAAGAGAACTAGCCAGGGTATAGTGAAGACAAGAGAACTAGCCAGGGTATATTGAAGACAAGAGAACTAGCCAGGGTATATTGAAGACAAGAGAACTAGCCAGGGTATATTGAAGACAAGAGAACTAGCCAGGGTATATTGAAGACAAGAGAACTTAGCCAGGGTATATTGAAGACAAGAGAACTAGCCAGGGTATATTGAAGACAAGAGAACTAGCCAGGGTATGTTGAAGACAAGAGAACTAGCCAGGGTATACTGAAGACAAGAGAACTAGCCAGGGTATATTGAAGACAAGAGAACTAGCCAGGGTATATTGAAGACAAGAGAACTAGCCAGGGTATATGGAAGACAAGAGAACTAGCCAGGTATTTTGAAGACAAGAGAACTAGCCAGGGTATTTTGAAGACAAGAGAACTAGCCAGGGTATATTGAAGACAGGACAAGAGAACTAGCCAGGGTATATTGAAGACAAGAGAACTAGCCAGGGTATACTGAAGACAAGAAACTAGCCAGGGTATATTGAAGACAAGAGAACTAGCCAGGGTATACTGAAGACAAGAGAACTAGCCAGGGTATATTGAAGACAAGAGAACTAGCCAGGGTATATTGAAGATAAGAGAACTAGCCAGGGTATATTGAAGACAAGAGAACTAGCCAGGGTATATTGAAGACAAGAGAACTAGCCAGGGTATATTGAAGACAAGAGAACTAGCCAGGGTATACTGAAGACAAGAGAACTAGCCAGGGTATATTGAAGACAAGAGAACTAGCCAGGGTATACTGAAGACAAGAGAACTAGCCAGGGTATATTTGAAGACAAGAGAACTAGCCAGGGTATATTGAAGACAAGAGAACTAGCCAGGGTATATTGAAGCAAGAGAACTAGCCAGGGTATATTGAAGACAAGAGAACTAGCCAGGGTATATTGAAGACAAGAGAACTAGCCAGGGTATATTGAAGACAAGAGAACTAGCCAGGGTATATTGAAGAGAAGTATACATTAGAATCGTGGGAGGTTATAATAGAAGATTTCTTAAGTCTAAATAAGTATATTTAGTATACTTATCATACATAGTGTAAATTACCTAAGATAACTCCAGAAGATCTGGTCATGGACCGGGCCACGGGGGCGTTGACCCCCGGGATACCCTAGGTATATTCCCTCATCATGAGAACAACTATGTGGCTGGCCTGATGTATACATTTAACAACCTACAGGTATACATGGTATACTCCAGGTATACGTGGTGTATTCTACCTGTACACAAATAACCCGCACATAAAAGACAGAAGCTTACGACGACGTTTCGGTCAGACTTGGACCATTGACGTAAGCTTCTCTCTTTTATGTGCGAGTTATTTGTGTATCGTTCCAGTCTCGGTATTGTGTCTTTTTTTGTTATTCTGCCTGTACATGGAAGGTGTTGGTATAGTAGTAGTAGTTGTAGTAGTAGTAGTAGTAGTAGTAGTAGTAGTAGTAGTAGTAGTAGTAGCAGTAGTAGTAGTAGTACTAGTAGTAGTAGTAGTAGTAGTACTAGTAGTTAGTAGTAGTGAGTAGCATAGTAGTAGTAGTAGTAGTAGTACTGTAGTAGATAGTAGTAGTAGTAGTGTAGTAGTTAGTAGTAGTAGTAGTAGTTGTAGTAGTAGTCTAGTAGTAGTAGTAGTAGTAGTAGTAGTAGTAGATAGCAGCTAGTTGTAGTAGTAGTAGTAGTAGTAGTAGTAGTAGTAGCTAGTAGTAGTAGTAGTAGTAGTAGTAGTAGTAGTTGTAGTAGCAGTAGTAGTAGTAGTAGTAGTAGTAGTAGTAGTAGTAGTAGTAGTAGTAGTAGTAGTAGTAGTAGTTGTTAGTGTACTAGTAGTGTAGTAGTAGTAGTAGTAGAGTAGTAGTAGTAGTGTAGTAGTAGTGGCACTAGTAGTAGTAGTAGTGTAAGAGTAGTTAGTAGTAGTAGTAGTAGTAGTAGCAGTAGTAGTAGTAGTAGTAGTAGCAGTAGTAGTAGTAGGTAGAGTAGTAGTAGTAGTAGTAGTAGTAGCAGTAGTAGTAGTAGTAGTAGCAGTAGTAGTAGGAGCAGCAGTAGTAGTAGTAGTAACAGTACTAGTAGCAGCAGTAGTAGTAGTAGTAGTAGCAGTAGTAGTAGTAGCAGGAGCAGTAGTAGTAGTAGCAGTAGTAGTAGTAGTAGTAGCAGTAGTAGTAGTAGTAGTAGCAGTAGTAGTAGTAGTAGCAGGAGCAGCAGTAGTAGTAGTAGCAGCAGGAGCAGTAGTAGTAGTAGCAGTAGTAGTAGCAGGAGCAGTAGTAGTAGTAGTAGTAGTAGCAGCAGGAGCAGTAGTAAGATAAGATAAGATAAGATTTCGTTCGGATTTTTAACCCCGGAGGGTTAGCCACCCAGGATAACCCAAGAAAGTCAGTGCGTCATCGAGGACTGTCTAACTTATTTCCATTGGGGTCCTCAATCTTGTCCCCCAGGATGCGACCCACACCAGTCCACTAACACCCAGGTACCTATTTGCTGCTAGGTGAACAGGACAACAGGTGTTAGGAAACGTGCCGAAATGTTTCCACCCGCCGGGAATCGAACCCGGGCCCTCCGTGTGTGAAGCGGGAGCTTTAGCCACCAGGCCACCGGGCCACCCAAGTAGTAGTAGTAGTAGTAGTAGCAGCAGGAGCAGTAGTAGTAGTAGCAGTAGTAGTAGCAGGAGCAGTAGTAGTAGTAGTAGTAGCAGGAACAGGAGCAGTAGTAGTAGTAGTAGTAGTAGCAGCAGGAGCAGTAGTAGTAGTAGTAGTAGTAGTAGTAGTAGTAGCAGTAGTAGTAGCAGGAGCAGTAGTAGTAGTAGTAGTAGTAGCAGGAGCAGTAGTAGTAGTAGTAGTAGTAGCAGGAGCAGCAGTAGTAGTAGTAGTAGTAGTAGTAGCAGGAGCAGCAGTAGTAGTAGTAGTAGTAGTAGTAGTAGTAGTAGTAGTAGTAGTAGTAGTAGTAACAGTACTAGTAGCAGTAGTAGTAGTAGTAGTAGTAGTAGTAGTAGTAGTAGTAGTAGTAGTTGCAATAGTAGTAGTAGCAGTGGTAGTAGTAGTAATCGTACTAAGAATTGTAGTAATAGTAAAAGCACCCACCACCACACATCCTCCCAAAAAAATAAATAATCCCCAGCAACAAACTCAATATAAACAAAAAAATGTTCATAATAATTACAAAAATAATATTTTAGTACTGTTTCCCCCTTAAGTTCCAACATGGCAGACTCTGAGAGGAAGCACAAGCTCGCTGCCGCCAGGAAAAAGGTGGAAAATAACCTCAAATTGCTCTTGAATTGGGTAGTTTGCAACGGGAAATGATAGTTTGGTGACTGGTTGTTAGTGGTGTGGTTGGTTGTTGGTGATTTAGGGTGATTCGTGGCTGTTATGATGGAAATAACTAGAGGTGTTTTGGGATGTAAACATTGAGGGGGGGGGGGAGATCAGCTGATGCTGACATGCTGGGTCGCCCCTGCGGGTTTGCCGCTTTTTTCTTCGTTGTTTGAAATAAGGCAGAAAATCCTTGATGATACACTGGCTTTCCTGGTTATCCTGGGTGGCTAACACTCCCTACCCTGGGTTGTCCTGGGTGGATAACACTCCCTACCCTGGGTTATCCTGGCTGGTTAACACTCCCTACCCTGGGTTATCCTGGTGGATAACACTCCCTACCCTGGGTTATCCTGGCTGGTTAACACTCCCTACCCTGGGTTATCCTGGGTGGCTAACACTCCCTACCCTGGGTTATCCTGGGTGGCTAACACTCCCTACCCTGGGTTATCTTGGCTGGTTAACACTCCCTACCCTGGGTTATCCTGGGTGGCTAACACTCCCTACCCTGGGTTATCCTGGCTGGTTAACACTCCCTACCCTGGGTTATCCTGGGTGGCTAACACTACCTACCCTGGGTTATCCTGGCTGGTTAACACTCCCTACCCTGGGTTATCCTGGGTGGCTAACACTACCTACCCTGGGTTATCCTGGCTGGTTAACACTCCCTACCCTGGGTTATCCTGGGTGGCTAACACTACCTACCCTGGGTTATCCTGGCTGGTTAACACTACCTACCCTGGGTTATCCTGGCTGGTTAACACTCCCTACCCTGGGTTATCCTGGGTGGCTAACACTACCTACCCTGGGTTATCCTGGCTGGTTAACACTCCCTACCCTGGGTTATCCTGGGTGGCTAACACTACCTACCCTGGGGTTATCCTGGCTGGTTAACACTCCCTACCCTGGGTTATCCTGGGTGGCTAACACTACCTACCCTGGGTTATCCTGGCTGGTTAACACTCCCTACCCTGGGTTATCCTGGGTGGCTAACACTCCCTACCCTGGGTTATCCTGGGTGGCTAACACTCCCTACCCTGGGTTATCCTGGCTGGTTAACACTCCCTACCCTGGGTTATCCTGGGTGGCTAACACCCCCTACCCTGGGTTATCCTGGGTAGCTAACACTCCCTACCCTGGGTTATCCTGGGTGGCTAACCCTCCCTACCCTGGGTTATCCTGAATGACTAATACTCCCTACCCTGGGTTATCCTGGGTGACTAACACTCCCTACCCTGGGTTATCCTGGGTGGCTAACATTCCCTACCCTGGGTTAGCCTGGGTGGCTAACACTCCCTACCCTGGGTTATCCTGGGTGACTAATACTCCCTACCCTGGGTTATCCTGGGTGACTAATACTCCCTACCCTGGGTTATCCTGGGTGGCTAACATTCCCTACCCTGGGTTAGCCTGGGTGGCTAACACTCCCTACCCTGGGTTATCCTGGGTGACTAATACTCCCTACCCTGGGTTATCCTGGGTGACTAACACTCCCTACCCTGGGTTATCCTGGGTGACTAACACTCCCTACCCTGGGTTATCCTGGGTGGCTAACACTCCCTACCCTGGGTTATCCTGTATGGCTAACATTCCCTACCCTGGGTTATCCTGGGTGGCTAACACTCCCTACCCTGGGTTATCCTGGGTGACTAACACTCCCTACCCTGGGTTATCCTGGGTGGCTAACACTCCCTACCCTGGGTTATCCTGTATGGCTAACATTCCCTACCCTGGGTTATCCTGGGTGGCTAACACTCCCTACCCTGGGTTATCCTGGGTGACTAATACTCCATACCTTGGGTTATCCTGGGTGACTAACACTCCCTACCCTGGGTTACCCTGGGTGACTAATACTCCCTACCCTAGGTTATCCTGGGTGGCTAACACTCCCTACCCTAGGTTATCCTGGGTGGATAACACTTCCTACCCTGGGTTATCCTGGGTGGCTAACACTCCCTTCCCTGGGTTATCCTGGGTGACTAATACTCCCTACCCTGGGTTATCCTGGGTGACTAATACTCCGTACCCTAGGTTATCCTGGGTGGCTAACACTCCCTACCCTGGGTTATCCTGGGTGGCTAATACTTCCTACCCTAGGTTATCCTGGGTGGCTAACACTCCCAACCCTAGGTTATCCTGGGTGGCTAACATTCCCTACCCTGGGTTATCCTGGGTGGCTAATACTCCCTACCCTGGGTTATCCTGGGTGGCTAACACTCCCTACCCTGGGTTATCCTGGGTGGCTAACTCTCCCTACCCTGGGTTATCCTGGGTGACTAATGCTCCCTACCCTGGGTTATCCTGGGTGGCTAACATTCCCTACCCTTGGTTATCCTGGGTGACTAATACTCCCTATCCTGGGTTATCCTTGGTGGCTAACACTTCCTACCTTGGGTTATCCTGGGTGGCTAACTCTCCCTACCCTGGGTTATCCTGGGTGACTAATACTCCCTACCCTGGGTGGCTAACACTCCCTACCCTAGGTTATCCTGGGCGGCTAATACTCCCTACCCTAGGTTATCCTGGGCGGCTAATCCTCCCTACCCTGGGTTATCCTGGGTGGCTAACACTCCCTACCCTTGGTTATCCTAGGTGGCTAACCCTCCCTACCCTGGGTTATCCTGGGTGGCTAACACTCCCTACCCTGAGTTATCCTAGGTGGCTAACCCTCTGGGGTTAAAAATCCCACCAGAATCTTGTCATATTCATTACCCTGCTAGTTTGTCAATTTAAATTTTAAAAGATATAATGTTTGTATTCTTCTAATACACATTTCTTCCAAATTTCTTGCAGCTAAGGCAATTCCAAAAGAAAAAAGGCACAAAGCATATGATCGAAGGCGGCAGCAAGGACGGCACTTCAGAGGTGGAGGTATTGTATGTTGCTGCGGCAACCTTAAGTGTGTCACAGCATGCACTTTGCTGATAAATTTCCTTTAGGTGCCTTGATGCCAGTGAGGGAGTTTTGATCCAAGGAACCAGAGCTATCCTTCCCTTCATTGGATTGAACCTGAATGCCTCCCATTTCCCAGGCATTGTATTACCCCTTCAGGTTTAGCACTTTCTGTTGCTTATAATTATAATTTGTGTGCACTTGCTCATGCAAGCAAATTACAATGGTACCTTGAGTTTCGAACAGTTCCCAAATTACAATGGTACCTTGAGTTTCGAACAGTTCCCAAATTACAATGGTACCTTGACTTTCGAACAGTTCCCAAATTACAATGGTACCTTGAGTTTCGAACAGTTCCCAAGTTACAATGGTACCTTGAGTTTCGAACAGTTCCCAAATTACAATGGTACCTTGAGTTTCGAACAGTTCCCAAATTACAATGGTACCTTGAGTTTCGAACAGTTCCTAAATTACAATGGTACCTTGAGTTTGGAACAGTTCCCAAGTTACAATGGTACCTTGAGTTTCGAACAGTTCCCAAATTACAATGGTACCTTGAGTTTCGAACAGTTCCCAAATTACAATGGTACCTTGAGTTTGGAACAGTTCCCAAATTACAATGGTACCTTGAGTTTCGAACAGTTCCCAAATTACAATGGTACCTTGAGTTTCGAACAGTTCCCAAATTACAATGGTACCTTGAGTTTTGAACAGTTCCCAAATCAAATAATTATGTAAGTGTATTTTTGGGGGTCTGAAATAGACTAATCTAATTTACATTATTCCTTATGGGAACAAATTCGTTTGGTATCGGCACCTGAACAGCCTTCTTGAACGAATTTAGTTCGTAACTCGAGGTATCACTGTATAATTATAATTATTATAATTATAATTATTTTTTACGGGTTTAGCGCTTCCCCCTTGATTATAATAATAATCCATTTATTTAGATTTTAAGAAACTCTGTTTGATAGAGTTCCTCATAAATGATAATTTAGAAACTGAAGTGGATCAGTGTTTTTTTATATTGATTCACATAAATGCTATGTTAGTTACAGTATTTATGTGTAAAATAGTGTTTGTTTAGTAAATTAAAATATACAAAATAACTGTATATTTCTATAAGTAACTGTATATTTCTATAAGTACAAAAATAACAAAAATAATAGTTGGTTGTATAATGGCTAATGTTCTTTGAGATGAGATATGCTAGATAAAAATGGTTTAAACTAGGGCTGTAGAGTCAGTACATAAAACCTTCAACTCTAGTTCCTTTATTTATGGCACCCCCATGTCTGATGCCTTTAATTTCATTTTACCAACTCCAAAAAAAAAACAATGGTTATAAATGAACATAATTTTTAAAGGGGTGGACCGGTAAGCCAGCGGAAGGCCTCGGTCAGATGACCAAAAGCTCCAAAGGCGGGTCATCATCTGACTAAGACCCGCGTCAGGAAACATTTGTCCTGTTTCCTGACGAACCTTACCTAACCTAACCTAACCAACTCCAACTCTGACTCCAGTAACTCAAGAATTGCTTCCAACTCTGTCTCCACAGCTCAGGTTTAAGCATTGGTTTTTTCAGCTTAAATTTATATCGGGTGATCCTGGAAAGTGCTATTTTCTGAAGAATTTCATTTTTGGGGCTTTTAATATTGAGCATTTGCTCTACCTTTGTTTAGAAGATTTTTGTATGATAGGTCAGATTTCTGTTTAATGCATATTGTGATCATTTACAGGGAAGTCTGACAGAAGAGTCAAGTCTACAGTCAGAATCAGGCACCCTCTCTTCACGTGCATCGTCAGTTGATCTGGTGTCAGAGGAATTTACAGAAATTATGGAGGATGATTCTCTTGTCTCATCTCATGATTTACAGTCATATCCTCAGACTCTGATCAGTGAAGAGAATGGGAGCTGTATGACACAGATACATCCTCCTGGTGGCTATGACCCAGGAACACACATTACAGAAGGGGAAACAGAGACAGGAGTGTCATCACCTCCTTCGGCAATAGAAGATACAGTACAAGTGACACAGAATAGGATTAAATATACAGAAGTAGTGTCAACTATGGAAGTCGAAAATGCAAGGTATGATGTCGCGGCCAACAGAACTGTCTCAGCGGATGATGAACAAGCACAGGAGGAAGAAAATACTCCTTTAAACAACATTGATTATTCTTTTCAACCTCTGGTGGTAGAAAGTGAAGTTACTAACCATGATTCATGTTCAGTAGCCTCTGATAATACAGACTCACCTGATTTACTGCAAAATGAATTGTTTACTTTAAAACAAGAGGCCGTCACAAATGCTGCATTTATCCAGATACCTGAACCAAATGAACAGAATACATATGTAAATAACAGGAAAGCTGCTAGGCAGCAAGTAAGTTTTTCGAATCCAATCATACCAGAACTCCCCAAAGATGAACCGGATACTGAGGCTCTTCCCAGTGACCTTGATTCTGTATCTGAACAGACAAATGCCCCTGATGTGTTTGAGAGAGAAGGTTCAGTCAGCTCTGAAACTACCGCAAGTGTAACAACAGCGATACATGTATCTACGGGGGAGACTCAAGGTGAACCTCTTCTGAAATCTTCTTCGGAGAGTTTGCGACAGATCTCCCTGCAACTCAGCGGCCTTATGAGTGAAAGTGAGGGATCAGGTAAAGTAATATGTTTTAAAAAATATAGATAGGAGTGAGTGGAGACGAATGGTCTTTGGGATTTAATGAGCTGTTGGAGTATGAGCAGGGTAATATTTTGTGAAGGGAAGCATGGAACCTGGTTAGCTGGACTTGAGTCATGGAGGTGGGAAGTACAGTGTCTGCACTCTAAAAGGTGGGGGGATATTTGCTGTTTACAGGGACATGTAAATTGCCATATCTGCATGCCTCTGGCAAGACAGAAGACAGTGATAGTTTAAATGATGGTGAAAGTGTTTCTTTTTTGGTCATCCTGCCTCAGTGGGAGACAGCCAGTGTGTTTATTTTACACCACGGAGTAATAAGGTACGGTGTTCAATAAATTACGAGTGGTAGCTTGGAATGAGATGCAGAACGTTAATAACCTGATTATAATGTAGAAATGGGTATTAGAAAATTAATGAAAGGATGACCCCTTGAACCTGCTGCTGAATCATGATCCACTTAGATCAAACCTGATTATCTCCCATTCCTAGGCACTGTATGACCCTCATGGGTTTAGAGCTTCTCCATGAATAAAATAAGAATGAAAGTCATAATTACAGAAAAGTATAGGAAAATACAGTGGACCCTCACATAACAATATTAATTGGTACCTGAGAACGAATATCGTTAAGCGAGTTTTTTAACGTTATCCGAGGGAAAATGTTAGCGTTAAAAGTATCGTTATGCGAATTTAACGTTATGTGATGCCAACGTTATGCGAGGGTCCACTGTATCTTGTAATATTTTTGGATATTTTTGTCATTGCTACATTGTACGATTTTACACAAAACTTTAAAGCGATGAATTATACAATTTTTGTTTTTCCTCAGCGCCAGGATTGCCTGACTTGACAATCTCTGAACTAGAGCGACGGAACGCTGAGTTGGCAGCACTGCTTCAGAAGGAGTGTGAAAACTCACAGCAACAGACACAGCACACCATTCAGCTGGCGAGTTGTAATGTAGAGAACCTGGTGCACTGCTTAACTTTGTACCTGGTGCCCTTTTTTGTGTGTGTGTGTGTGTGTGTGTGTGTGTGTGTGTGTGTGTGTGTGTGTGTGTGTGTGTGTGTGTGTGTGTGTGTGTGTGTGTGTGTGTGTGTGTGAGAGTGTGAGAGAGAGAGAGAGAGAGAGTGAGAGAGTGAGTGCGAGTGCACGCACCTTGTGGCATGTTGAGTTTTAACTTTTCAGCAGACGCTAGATGGTCACGTGACTTGTAATATTGTTGCACTTCTGGAAAGCTTGTATGGTAACGTTCTCACTTCACACTTAGTGTCCGTGGTTCGATCCCTGACACGGGTGGAAATGTTGAGCATATTTCCTTGCATCTGCTGTCCCTGTTTACCTAGTAGCAAGTAGGTACCTGGGTGTTAGTCAACTGGTGTGGGTGGCATCCTGGGGAACAAGACTGAAGGACCACAATGGAAATAAGACACATGCCTCAATGGCGCACTGAATTTTTCTTGGGTTATCATGGGTGGCTAACCCTCCATGTTAAAAATCTGAACAGATCTTATTTTCTCTTATCCTTCTTTTGGGCCATCTTACCCCAGTGGAAAAATGGCTGATGTAATAAAAAAAAATGTAATTATGGCTAAATAAAAGAATCTTCCCTGTTAGAAGGTCTGTAGCTCAACGGTATAGTGTTGGAGCTGTCCATCCCAGGACCACAGTTCAAGCTTCCTGTCCATCATTCTGTTTATTCATAAGATAATAAAATTACTGAGAGAAGCCTATTATAGATGTTACAGCATTATGACGATAAAATTTTAACTATGGTAAATTTATTGCAAATAAAGACATTTAATATTGGGTCACCCTGCCTCAGTGAGAGACAGCCAATGTGTTAAAAAAAGAGCTTGTATGGTAATAAGATACTTGAGACATTGATGTGTAATAACACATTGCTTCCCTATCCACCCTATCATGTGCCTTTTTTAAATCCATAAAAACAATGAAAATTCTGTACCTTTATCTCAATTTATTTTATTTTATTAACACACTGGCTGATTCCCACCAAGGCAGGGTGGCCCGAAAAAGAAAACCTTAAACCATCATTCACTCCATCACTGTCTTGCCATAAGGGTGCTTTACACTACAGTTTTTAAACTGCAACATTAACACCCCTCCTTCAGAGTGCAGACACTGTACTTCTATCTCAATATTGTTCACTTATATGCTTCAATAAGTGTACAATATTGTTCAGTTATATCCTTCAATAAGTGTACAATATTGTTCAGTTATATCCTTCAATAAGTGTACAATATTGTTCACTTATATGCTTCAATAAGTGTACAAGTCCTGGAGGTGGGAAGTACAATGCCTACACTCTTAAGGAGGAGTTTGGGATATTTGCTGTTCAGAGTGACATCTAAACTGTCATATCTGCACGCCTCTGGTAAGACAGTAACAGTGTGAATGATGGTGAAACTGTTTATTTTTCGGGTCACCGTGCCACAATGGGAGATGGCCGATATGTTGAAAAAAAAAATTTGCACTTAAAGGGGAAAGGTGCTTTAATGCTGGAAAATTTGATGAAAAAAAATTTCAGCTGCTCTCCCCTGATTACCTCCCATTTCCCTATAGGTTTAGTGCTTCCTCATGAGTATAATAATCTGCACATTCTGTATCTGAAAAAGATATACAGTGGACCCCCGACTTACGATCAGCTCCCTACTCGAACAACTATTTAAGTGTATTTTTGTAAGTGCTTTTGTAAGTGTATTTTTGGGGGTCTGAAACGGACTAATCTAATTTACAATATTCCTTATGGGAATAAATTCGTTTGATAACGGCACCCGAACAGCCTTCTGGAATGAATTAATATCGTAAGTCGGGGATCCACTGTATAATAGTAATAATGTTTTGCAATAATAATAATGTTTGGCATGTAATAAAATCCTTCCACAACCCCGTAGAAAGCCCAGCTGGAGAGGCTGGAAGCGGAGTTAGCTGCTGCCCACGCTGTCTTGAACTCTGCTGCCGGTGGAGGTGCAAGGGAGGTAGAAAGCTTGAGGGAGCAACTGCAGGTGCACATTCAGACTATAGGCATCTTAGTGTCGGAGAAGTCCGAGCTGCAGTCCAACCTTACTCATGCCAATTATGCTCTTAAACAGAAAGCAGGTGGGTATAATAAGTTTTTGTAAATAGGCTTTATGCTTAACAGTATTTTATGACATGTAAGTTACATGTTGTATACTGTGCAAAAGAAATAAAAATTTCAATTTTGAATTTGAATTAAAAACTCAGTACTACTTCCTCCATAAGCCATGTGTGTGATAAGAGGTGGCTAAAATGCCAGGAGCATTTTTTCTTTTTTTGGGTCACTCTGCCTTGGTGGGAAGTGGCCAGTGTGTTAGAAAAATATATAAAAAATTTAAACAAGCTGGCATCTGCTGAGGTGGGGGTGACCCCAAAAAGATAATACACATTGTCCATCATATCATAGCTATTACATTAATGATAATGAATACATTTCCACTTCTTTTAGGTCAACCTGCTTCAGTGGGAGACAGCCAACGTGTTAAAAAATATATATTAAAATATCCAGTAGCTAGTTGAGTTCCACTGAGCTTTGGAAGTCAAATTATGCTATCTTCTTCCCATTGCAGTTTTAACGTCTACATGTGGGATACTCTTCAACATTAACAAATGTTCATTACACTTAATCAGTCAGGGAAATGAATAAGATTTTTTGAGAATAAAGAATAAATTATTTACTGATGTTGTATACAGCAATTCATTTTGATAAATCTCTCCCCATTTCTGTTTGACCAGATGTCTTACTATTCTCACATCTATAAAATGGTGTGGAAGAAGACACTTAAGTACAGATCAGGACATTTATTAAAGGAAACGTTTCGCCACGAGTGGTGAAACTAATAGTGTTGTTCGGTACCTTATTAGATTTGATTTTCTACAGTGCTCTTCTTCTTTATAATGCACATTTCATTACACAAACCTAATTTAATATGGAATTTACTAACTATGAATAACAAAATCTAGGTAGTAGGTTGGTAGACAGCAACCACCCAGGGAGGTACTACCGTCCTGTGGTAGTAGGTTGGTAGACAGCAACCACCCAGGGAGGTACTACTGTCCTGTGGTAGTAGGTTGGTAGACAGCAACCACCCAGGGAGGTACTACCATCCTGTGGTAGTAGATTGGTAGACAGCAACCACCCAGGGAGGTACTACCGTCCTGTGGTAGTAGGTTGGTAGACAGCAACCATCCAGGGAGGTACTACCGTCCTGTGGTAGTAGGTTGGTAGACAGCAACCACCCAGGGAGGTACTACCATCCTGTGGTAGTAGGTTGGTTGACAGCAACCACCCAGGGAGGTACTACCATCCTGCCAAGTGAGTGTAAAACGAAAGCCTGTAATTGTTTTACATGATGGTAGGATTGCTAGTGTCCTTTTTTTCTGTCTCATAAACATGCAAGATTTCAGGTACGTCTTGCTACTTCTACTTACACTTAGGTCACACTACACATACATGTACAGTGGAACCTAAAATATCAAACTTTCTTCGGTCCAGATGTCTGTTCGAGTGCCTTTACCGAATGAATTTATTCCCATCAGGAATAATGTAAATTAGATTAGTCCATTTCAGACCCTTAAAAATACACTTATAAAAGCACTTACAAAAATACACTTACATAATTGGTTGTGTTGGGAGCAGTTCGATTTTTGAGGTTCCACTGTACAAGCATATACAGTGGACCCCCGGTTAACGATATTTTTTCACTCCAGAAGTATGTTCAGGTGCCAGTACTGACCGAATTTGTTCCCATAAGGAATATTGTGAAGTAGATTAGTCCATTTCAGACCCCCAAACATGCACGTACAAACGCACTTACATAAATACAGTGGACCCCCGCATAACGATCACCTCCGAATGCGACCAATTATGTAAGTGTATTTATGTAAGTGCGTTTGTACGTGTATGTTTGGGGGTCTGAAATGGACTAATCTACTTCACAATATTCCTTATGGGAACAAATTCGGTCAGTACTGGCACCTGAACATACTTCTGGAGTGAAAAAATATTGTTAACCGGGGGTCCACTGTACACTTACATAATTGGTCGCATTCGGAGGTGATCGTTATGAGGGGGTCCACTGTATATACACACCCCTCTGGATTTTCTTCTATTTTCTTACTAGTTCTTGTTCTTGTTTATTTTCTCTTACCACCATAGGGAAGTGGAACAGAATTCTTCCTCCGTAAGCCATGCGTGTTGTAAGAGGCAACTGAAATGCCAGGAGCAAGGGGCTAGTAACCCCTTCTCCTGTATGTATTACTAAATGTAAAAGGAGAAACTTTCGTTTTTCCTTTTGGGCCACCCTGCCTTGGTGGGATACAGCCGGTGTGTTGAAAGAAAGAAAGAATAACTAAATAACAAAAAAGCACAATACCGTGACTGGAACAATTGTCCAACTCAAACCGAAGCATTGTCATAAGCTCCTCTCTTCTATGTGTGGGTTAATTGTGTACTAACTATGGTTATGTTGAAGAACAAAAAGGAACATTACTATGACCGGAACAAAATACAAATAACCAGCACATAGGAGAAGGAAATTTATTACAATGTTCCCGTCCAACTTGGAGTAGTTAATGGTCTAAGTCAGACTGAAACATCGTCAGAAGTTTCTTTCTATGTGCTGGTTATTTGTGTATGCTATGTTATTTTGAAACCATGATAAAAAAAAAAAGTTTGTAATCCTTACAAAATTTTGGTTTGATTACAATGTACATTCCATCCTAAGATGAATATTTGACATGTATGCTTGCGTTCAGGAGAGGTAATAGAACTGGATGGGCGACTGAGTGCTTCTCGCCAGCGAGTGGGAGAGCTGGAAGCTAGCCTTAAAGATCTAACCTCCCAGTGCACAGCTGCCAAGTCACTACAGGACACACTTTCAAAGGAACTGGATGCTACCAAGATGACAAATTTCAAAACAAAGTAAGCAGAAATGCATATTTTTTTTAAAGTATGTAAGCCATTAAATTAAGTCTGCCCATAATGCCTAGGCATGGTAGTAGCTCTCTTTGCACTGTATCTCATTGTAATTTCATAATCTAATTGTAACCTTGCAGAGGAATAAAATTTTGTTTGTTTTGTTTGTTTGTTTAAAAATTTAATGAATAACATTGAATGACGAGTGATTACAGTGGACCCCCGGTTTACAATCACCTCCCAATGCAACCAATTATGTAAGTGTATTTATGTAGGTGCATTTGTACGTGTATGTTTGGGGGTCTGAAATGGACTAATCTAATTCACAATATTCCTTATGGGAACAAATTCGTTCAGTACTGGCACCTGAACATACTTCTGGAATGAAATAATATCGTAAACCGGGGGTCCACCGTATTTGGATTGTGAAGCCTGTGCACTTCTGGCCACACAGCTATTGAATGAGTGATCATGAATGTGTTTTCTTCTCTCTGGAACACCCTACCTTGGTCTGAAATGACCTATGAAATAAAGTTAATGAGTTATAGACATCCTTAAAAAAAGGTAGATGCTGGTTTTAAAGAAAAGGAAATAGACTATTATAGCTATGTTTTATGGCTTGGCTTTTTAAACATGTTTCAGGTATTTATTTACCACTTTTATATTGCAGATATTTAAGGAGTTGTAGGTAGTAGGTTGGTAGACAGCAACCGCCCAGGGAGGTACTACCGTCCTGTGGTAGTAGGTTGGTAGACAGCAACCACCCAGGGAGGTACTACTGTCCTGTGGTAGTAGGTTGGTAGACAGCAACCACCCAGGGAGGTACTACCGTCCTGTGGTAGTAGGTTGGTAGACAGCAACCGCCCAGGGAGGTACTACCGTCCTGTGGTAGTAGGTTGGTAGACAGCAACCACCAGGGAGGTACTACCGTCCTGTGGTAGTAGGTTGGTAGACAGCAACCACCCAGGGAGGTACTACTGTCCTGTGGTAGTAGGTTGGTAGACAGCAACCACCCAGGGAGGTACTACCGTCCTGTGGTTTGTAGGTTGGTAGACAGCAACCACCCAGGGAGGTACTACCGTCCTGTGGTAGTAGGTTGGTAGACAGCAACCACCCAGGGAGGTACTACCGTCCTGTGGTAGTAGGTTGGTAGACAACAACCACCCAGGGAGGTACTACCGTCCTGTGGTAGTTTGGTTGGTAGACAGCAACCACCCAGGGAGGTACTACCATCCTGTGGTAGTAGGTTGGTAGACAGCAACCACCCAGGGAGGTACTACCGTCCTGTGGTAGTAGGTTGGTAGACAACAACCACCCAGGGAGGTACTACCATCCTGTGGTAGTAGGTTGGTAGACAACAACCACCCAGGGAGGTACTACCATCCTGTGGTAGTAGGTTGGTAGACAACAACCACCCAGGGAGGTACTACCATCCCGTGGTAGTAGGTTGGTAGACAGCAACCACCCAGGGAGGTACTACCGTCCTGTGGTAGTAGGTTGGTAGACAACAACCACCCAGGGAGGTACTACCGTCCTGTGGTAGTAGGTTGGTAGACAACAACCACCCAGGGAGGTACTACCGTCCTGTGGTAGTAGGTTGGTAGACAACAACCTCCCAGGGAGGTACTACCGTCCTGTGGTAGTAGGTTGGTAGACAACAACCACCCAGGGAGGTACTACCATCCTGTGGTAGTAGGTTGGTAGACAACAACCACCCAGGGAGGTACTACCGTCCTGTGGTAGTAGGTTGGTAGACAACCACCCAGGGAGGTACTACCGTCCTGTGGTAGTAGGTTGGTAGACAGCAACCGCCCAGGGAGGTACTACCATCCTGTGGTAGTAGGTTGGTAGACAACAACCACCCAGGGAGGTACTACCATCCTGTGGTAGTAGGTTGGTAGACAACAACCTCCCAGGGAGGTACTACCATCCTGTGGTAGTAGGTTGGTAGACAACAACCCCCCAGGGAGGTACTACCATCCTGTGGTAGTAGGTTGGTAGACAACAACCACCCAGGGAGGTACTACCATCCTGTGGTAGTAGGTTGGTAGACAACAACCACCCCGGGAGGTACTACCGTCCTGTGGTAGTAGGTTGGTAGACAACAACCACCCAGGGAGGTACTACTGTCCTGTGGTAGTAGGTTGGTAGACAACAACCACCCAGGGAGGTACTACCATCCTGTGGTAGTAGGTTGGTAGACAACAACCACCCAGGGAGGTACTACCATCCTGTGGTAGTAGGTTGGTAGACAGCAACCACCCAGGGAGGTACTACCGTCCTGTGGTAGTAGGTTGGTAGACAACAACCACCCAGGGAGGTACTACCGTCCTGTGGTAGTAGGTTGGTAGACAACAACCACCCAGGGAGGTACTACCGTCCTGTGGTAGTAGGTTGGTAGACAACAACCTCCCAGGGAGGTACTACCGTCCTGTGGTAGTAGGTTGGTAGACAACAACCACCCAGGGAGGTACTACCATCCTGTGGTAGTAGGTTGGTAGACAACAACCCCCCAGGGAGGTACTACCGTCCTGTGGTAGTAGGTTGGTAGACAACAACCACCCAGGGAGGTACTACCGTCCTGTGGTAGTAGGTTGGTAGACAGCAACCGCCCAGGGAGGTACTACCATCCTGTGGTAGTAGGTTGGTAGACAACAACCACCCAGGGAGGTACTACCATCCTGTGGTAGTAGGTTGGTAGACAACAACCTCCCAGGGAGGTACTACCGTCCTGTGGTAGTAGGTTGGTAGACAACAACCACCCAGGGAGGTACTACCATCCTGTGGTAGTAGGTTGGTAGACAACAACCACCCAGGGAGGTACTACCATCCTGTGGTAGTAGGTTGGTAGACAACAACCACCCAGGGAGGTACTACCGTCCTGTGGTAGTAGGTTGGTAGACAACAACCACCCAGGGAGGTACTACTGTCCTGTGGTAGTAGGTTGGTAGACAACAACCACCCAGGGAGGTACTACCATCCTGTGGTAGTAGGTTGGTAGACAACAACCACCCAGGGGGGTACTACCATCCTGTGGTAGTAGTTTGGTAGACAACAACCACCCAGGGAGGTTTACCATCCTGTGGTAGTAGGTTGGTAGACAACAACCACCCAGGGAGGTACTACCATCCTGTGGTAGTAGGTTGGTAGACAACAACCACCCAGGGAGAGTCTACTGTCCTGTGGTAGTAGGTTGGTAGACAACAACCACCAGGGAGGTACTACCGTCCTGTGTAGTAGGTTGGTAGACAACAACTACCCCGGGAGGTACTACCGTCCTGTGGTAGTAGGTTGGTAGACAGCAACCACCAGGGAGGTACTACCGTCTGTGGTAGTAGGTTGGTAGACAACAAAACCCCCCAGGGAGGTACTACCATCCTGTGGTAGTAGGTTGGTAGACAACAACCACCCAGGGAGGTACTACCGTCCTGTGGTAGTAGGTTGGTAGACAACAACCACCCAGGGAGGTACTACTGTCCTGTGGTAGTAGGTTGGTAGACAGCAACCACCCAGGGAGGTACTACCGTCCTGTGGTAGTAGGTTGGTAGACAACAACCACCCAGGGAGGTACTACCCTCCTGTGGTAGTAGGTTGGTAGACAGCAACCACCCAGGGAGGTACTACCGTCCTGTGGTAGTAGGTTGGTAGACAGCAACCACCCAGGGAGGTACTTCCGTCCTGTGGTAGTAGGTTGTTAGACAACAACCACCCAGGGAGGTACTACCATCCTGTGGTAGTAGGTTGGTAGACAGCAACCACCCAGGGAGGTACTACCGTCCTGTGGTAGTAGGTTGGTAGACAACAACCACCCAGGGAGGTACTACCATCCTGTGGTAGTAGGTTGGTAGACAGCAACCACCCAGGGAGGTACTACCGTCCTGTGGTAGTAGGTTGGTAGACAGCAACCACCCAGGGAGGTACTTCCGTCCTGTGGTAGTAGGTTGGTAGACAACAACCACCCAGGGAGGTACTACCGTCCTGTGGTAGTAGGTTGGTAGACAGCAACCGCCCAGGGAGGTTTCTACCGTCCCGTGGTAGTAGGTTGGTAGACAACAACCACCCAGGGAGGTACTACCATCCTGTGGTAGTAGGTTGGTAGACAACAACCTCCCAGGGAGGTACTACCGTCCTGTGGTAGTAGGTTGGTAGACAAAAAACCACCCAGGGAGGTACTACCATCCTGTGGTAGTAGGTTGGTAGACAACAACCACCCAGGGAGGTACTACCATCCTGTGGTAGTAGGTTGGTAGACAACAACCACCCAGGGAGGTACTACCGTCCTGTGGTAGTAGGTTGGTAGACAACAACCACCCAGGGAGGTACTACCATCCTGTGGTAGTAGGTTGGTAGACAACAACCACCCAGGGAGGTACTACCATCCTGTGGTAGTAGGTTGGTAGACAACAACCACCCAGGGAGGTACTACCATCCTGTGGTAGTAGGTTGGTAGACAACAACCACCCAGGGAGGTACTACCATCCTGTGGTAGTAGGTTGGTAGACAACAACCACCCAGGGAGGTTCTACCATCCTGTGGTAGTAGGTTGGTAGACAACAACCACCCAGGGAGGTACTACCATCCTGTGGTAGTAGGTTGGTAGACAAAAACCACCCAGGGAGGTACTACCGTCCTGTTTGGGAGTAGGTTGGTAGACAACAACCACCCAGGGGGTACTACCGTCCTGTGTAGTAGGTTGGTAGACAACAACTACCCAGGGAGGTACTACCGTCTGTGGTAGTAGGTTGGTAGACAGCAACCACCAGGGAGGTACTACGTCCTGTGGTAGTAGGTTGGTAGACAGCAACCACCCAGGGAGGTACTACCGTCCTGTGGTAGTAGGTTGGTAGACAACAAACACCCAGGGAGGTACTACCGTCCTGTGGTAGTAGGTTGGTAGACAAAAACCACCCAGGGAGGTACTACCGTCCTGTGGTAGTAGGTTGGTAGACAGCAACCACCCAGGGAGGTACTACCGTCCTGTGGTAGTAGGTTGTAGACAACAACCACCCAGGGAGGTACTACCGTCCTGTGGTAGTAGGTTGGTAGACAGCAACCACCCAGGGAGGTACTACCGTCCTGTGGTAGTAGGTTGGTAGACAGCAACCACCCAGGGAGGTACTTCCGTCCTGTGGTAGTAGGTTGGTAGACAACAACCACCCAGGGAGGTACTACATCCTGTGGTAGTAGGTTGGTAGACAGCAACCACCCAGGGAGGTACTACCGTCCTGTGGTAGTAGGTTGGTAGACAACAACCACCCAGGGAGGTACTACCATCCTGTGGTAGTAGGTTGGTAGACAGCAACCAACCCAGGGAGGTACTACCGTTTCCCGTGGTAGTAGGTTGGTAGACAGCAACCACCCAGGGAGGTACTTCCGTCCTGTGGTAGTAGGTTGGTAGACAACAACCACCCAGGGAGGTACTACCGTCCTGTGGTAGTAGGTTGGTAGACAGCAACCGCCCAGGGAGGTACTACCGTCCTGTGGTAAATAGGTTGGTAGACAACAACCACCCAGGGAGGTACTACCATCCTGTGGTAGTAGGTTGGTAGACAACAACCCCCCAGGGAGGTACTACCGTCCTGTGGTAGTAGGTTGGTAGACAACAACCACCCAGGGAGGTACTACCATCCTGTGGTAGTAGGTTGGTAGACAACAACCACCCAGGGAGGTACTACCATCCCGTGGTAGTAGGTTGGTAGACAACAACCACCCAGGGAGGGTACTACCGTCCTGTGGTAGTAGGTTGGTAGACAACAACCACCCAGGGAGGTACTACCATCCTGTGGTAGTAGGTTGGTAGACAACAACCACCCAGGGAGGTACTACCATCCTGTGGTAGTAGGTTGGTAGACAACAACCACCCAGGGAGGTACTACCATCCTGTGGTAGTAGGTTGGTAGACAACAACCACCCAGGGAGGTACTACCATCCTGTGGTAGTAGGTTGGTAGACAACAACCACCCAGGGAGGTTCTACCATCCTGTGGTAGTAGGTTGGTAGACAACAACCACCCAGGGAGGTACTACCGTCCTGTGGTAGTAGGTTGGTAGACAACAACCACCCAGGGAGGTACTACCGTCCTGTGGTAGTAGGTTGGTAGACAACAACCACCCAGGGAGGTACTACCGTCCTGTGTAGTAGGTTGGTAGACAACAACCACCCAGGGAGGTACTACTGTCCTGTGGTAGTAGGTTGGTAGACAGCAACCACCCAGGGAGGTACTACCGTCCTGTGGTAGTAGGTTGGTAGACAACAACCACCCAGGGAGGTACTACCATCCTGTGGTAGTAGGTTGGTAGACAACAACCACCCAGGGAGGTACTACCGTCCTGTGGTAGTAGGTTGGTAGACAACAACCACCCAGGGAGGTACTACTGTCCTGTGGTAGTAGGTTGGTAGACAGCAACCACCCAGGGAGGTACTTCTGTCCTGTGGTAGTAGGTTGGTAGACAACAACCACCCAGGGAGGTACTACCATCCTGTGGTAGTAGGTTGGTAGACAGCAACCACCCAGGGAGGTACTACCGTCCTGTGGTAGTAGGTTGGTAGACAACAACCACCCAGGAAGGTACTACCATCCTGTGGTAGTAGGTTGGTAGACAGCAACCACCCAGGGAGGTACTACCGTCCTGTGGTAGTAGGTTGGTAGACAGCAACCACCTAGGGAGGTACTACTGTCCTGTGGTAGTAGGTTGGTAGACAGCAACCGCCCAGGGATGTACTACCGTCCTGCCAAGTGAGTGTAAAACGAAAGCCTGTAATTGTTTTACATGATGGTAGGATTGCTGGTGTCTTTTTTCTGTCTCATAAACATGCAAGATTTCAGGTATGTCTTACTACTTCTACTTACACTTAGGTCACACTACACATACATGTCTTCTTTCTTTCAACACACCGGCCGTATCCCACCGAGGCGGGGTGGCCCAAAAGGAAAAACGAAAGTTTCTCCTTTTACATTTAGTAATATATACAGGAGAAGAGGTTACTAGCCCCTTGCTCCCGGCATTTTAGTCGCCTCTTACAACACGCATGGCTTACGGAGGAAGAATTCTGTTCCACTTCCCCATGGAGATAAGAGGAAATAAACAAGAATAAGAACTAGAAAGAAAATAGAAGAAAACCCAGAAGGGTGTGTATATATGTGCTTGTACATGTATGTGTAGTGTGACCTAAGTGTAAGTAGAAGTAGCAAGACGTACCTGAAATCTTGCATGTTCATGAGACAGAAAAAAGGACACCAGCAATCCTACCATCATGTAAAACAATTACAGGCTTTCGTTTTACACTCACTTGGCAGGACGGTAGTACCTCCCTGGGCGGTTGCTGTCTACCAACCTACTACCTATAACACATACATGTACAAGCATATATTACCTGGAGTTTACCTGGAGAGAGTTTCGGGGGTCAACGCCCCCGCGGCCCGGTCTGTGACCAGGCCTCCTGGTGGATCAGCGCCTGATCAACCAGGCTGTTGCTGCTGGCTGCACGCAAACCAACGTACAAGCCACAGCCCGGCTGATCAGGAACTGACTTTAGGTGCTTGTCCAGTGCCAGCTTGAAGACTGCCAGGGGTCTGTTGGTAATCCCCCTTATGTGTGCTGGGAGGCAGTTGAACAGTCTCGGGCCCCTGACACTTATTGTATGGTCTCTTAACGTGCTAGTGACACCCCTGCTTTTCATTGGGGGGATGGTGCATCGTCTGCCAAGTCTTTTGCTTTCGTAGTGAGTGATTTTTGTGTGCAAGTTCGGTACTAGTCCCTCTAGGATTTTCCAGGTGTATATAATCATGTATCTCTCCCTCCTGCGTTCCAGGGAATACAGGTTTAGAAACCTCAAGCGCTCCCAGTAATTGAGGTGTTTTATCTCCGTTATGCGCGCCTCTGAGTTTTCTTCTATTTTCTTTCTAGTTCTTATTCTTGATTATTTCCTCATATCTCCATGGGGAAATGGAACAGAATTCTTTCTCCGTAAGCCATGCGTGTTGTAAGAGGCGACTAAAATGCCAGGAGCAAGGGGCTAGTAACCTCTTCTCCTGTATATATTACTAAATGTAAAAGGAGAAACTTTCGTTTTTCCTTTTGGGCCACCCCGCCTCGGTGGGATACGGCCGGTGTGTTGAAAGAAAGAATTGTATTTAAAGAGCAGTAGAAAGATATAATAAAAAAAGTTTTTATTTTTGTGAGGTTTCCCCCATGGGATTTTTTGTGAAGTACACTGAGCTTCATACACTGAATTAGCACTGTACAGTGGAACCTCAAAAATCGAACTGCTCCCAACTCAACCAATTATGTAAGTGTATTTTTGTAAGTGCTTTTATAAGTGTACTTTTTAGGGTCTGAAATGGACTAATCTAATGTATATTATTCCTGATGGGAATAAATTCGTTCTTTAGCGACACTTGAACAACCTTCTGGACCGAAGAAAGTTCTATGTTTGAGGTTCCATTGTATGAAGTCCACAGTGGATGAAGGTTAGGTTAGGTTAGGTAAAGTTTGTTAGGAAACAGGGCAAGTGTTACCTGACGTGGGTCCTAGTCATATGATGACCCGCCACTGGAGCTTTTGGTCATTTGACCGAGGCCTTCTGCTGGCTTACCCGTCCACCCTTTAAAAATTATGGTTATAATTATAACTATTAGGAATTAATTGAAACCTTGTTTAAATAAAAGGGTTTTATTATAAGGATCTTTCTGTTATCATTTGATATCTTACACACATTATTCCACAAAACTGCATTTCAAAATGATCTTCTTCTTCTTTCAACGTACCAGCTGTATCCCACTGAGGTGGGGTGGCCCAAAAGAAAAAACTGAAGTTTCTCCTTTTAAATTTAGTAATTTATACAGGAGAAGGGGTTACTAGCCCCTTGCTCCCGGCATTTTAGTCGCCTCTTACGACACGCATGGCTTACAGAGGAAGAATTCTGTTCCACTTCCCCATGGAGAAGCATATACATATGCTTATATATATATGCATATACATATGATCTTTGCAGCAAAGTTTGCGAAGAGCTGAAGGCTAGCGTGGCAGAGTTGACTGAACGTCTCAGTGTGAAAACTGGCGATTACGACACATTATGTTCCCAGCTCACCGACACCAAGAGCCAGCTGGCAATGGCACAACTTCATGTCCAGCAAGTAAGTTCAGGGGAGTACCTTGACACTGGTCAAGGGTTCTTGATCTAAAGAATTAGATCTGTCTTCCTATTGGATTAAATCTGGTTATCTCCCATTTCTCAGGTGCTGTTTGACCCTATGGATTCATTACTTTCTTATGACTATAATAATTATAATATTAGATTTTGTTTATTATGTAAGATACAAAGCATAAACTGTTTCTTGTTTAGTTGCTCAATCAAAATAATGTATATAGAATAAGAGGTGAATGTAAGAGGAAGAGTTGTGGAGGTGGAAAGTACAGTGCCTGCACTCTGAGGGAAGGGTGGGAATATTTGCAGTTTTGAATTGTAGTAGTGGCACGCCTCGGGCAAGACAGTGAAACAGTGAGTGATGGTAAAAGCGTTTCTTCTTTTTTGGGGGGCCACCTTGCCTCGGTGGGACTTGGCCATTGTATTAAAAAAATCTGAAAATTATAGAACAGGCCATTACTGAGGCCTCTTCTATGAAAATTAACTAATACTGATTCCTATTAAGGAAGGTTCCTTGATGCCAGTGAGGAGCTCTTGATGCAAGGAATGGGACCCATCTTGCCATTCATTGGATTGAACCTGATTGCCTCCCATTTTTCCCAGGTTTTTTATGACCCCTGTGGGTTTAGCACATCCCCCTAATTTTTTTTTTTTTTTTTTTTTTTTTTTCAACAAGTCGGCCGTCTCCCACCGAGGCAGGGTGACCCAAAAAAAGAAAGAAAATCCCCAAAAAGAAAATACTTTCATCATCATTCAACACTTTCACCACACTCACACATTATCACTGCTTTTGCAGAGGTGCTCAGAATACAACAGCTTAGAAGCATATACGTATAAAGATACACAACATATACGTATAATAATAATCATCTCGTACTATATATAAAGCTAAATTTTAGCTTTAATTACCAGTGAATATTGATTGTGAGGCTCATTTCTTGTGATTCTTTTGGTTTTAGCTGAACCTAATTTCAAGCACACTATAATCATAAATCTTCTATGATTTCAGTATGAAAGTGCAACTCATTGTATTGGCAGTGAATATTTATTACTGTAAAATTATTTGTTGATTTCCTGACTACAACATATCTCATTTTGTACATTGAATTTATTTTTTATTAACGCTTCAGCAGTTTCCCACCAAGGCGGGTAACTCGAAAAAGAAAAAACACTTTCATCATCATTCACTATCTTGCAGAGGCGTGCCTACACTACAGTTAAAAAAACGGCAACATATCTTTACCCGTCCTTCAGAGTGCAGGCACTGCAGTATATGTTGTGTTTAATGGTACAGCTCGGTGTGTTTTTAATATGTGTATTACAACCAGCTGAGAGATGGTACAAGTGAGGAGATCCAGTGCCAGCTGGAACAGGTGCAGGCAGCTCATCTAGAGAGCCAGAGACAGCTTCAAGCAACCCAGACAGCTCTCTCCCAGGCACATGCTGACAACGCCAAAGTGGCTCTGCACTACCAGCAGTACACCACGCAGTTAGCATCACAAACTCAGAGTTTGCAAGAGCAAGTAAGCTGCACTATATACTTCACTACACAGCTAACCCACAGATTGAAGATACAATGGTACCTCGAGTTACGAACTTAACTCGTTCCAGAAGGCTGTTCGAGTGCCGATACTGAATGAATTTGTTCCCATAAGGAATAATGTAAATTAGATTCCTCTGTTTCAGACCCCCAAAAATACACTTACAAAAGCACTTACAAAAATACACTTACATAATTGTTCGAGTTGGGAGCTGTTCGAAACTCTGGGTACCTGTGTAATATTTACATGAAACATTAAACCCATGTGGGTCATGTAAGGACTAGCAGATACTCAACCCTCTGTCCATTATTTGTGAAACAAATTCTGCTCTTAGGTTGAAGACAGGAATATGGTGATAAAAAGTGGAAATCAATTTCTACAATAAAGTTTTCAAAGTGGGTGTTGTTAAGACACTGGAATTTACTAGTCTAATTACTCAGGATGGACTGAAAAATGTCATTGAACACTTGTCTCAAAATTGTAGGCTAGTTATGAGGTGTTCCAGTCACATTCTTATGGCTCTTATTCTTTATACAGTTCAATATATACACACATAAAGCATATACTAACGTTAGTTGTATCACTTTATTTTGCCTGATGAAATTTTAGTTTTGTATTCTGACATGACTTTAATAATATATTTTGTAGATTAAACACTTGATTGTGGAAAAAGAAGAATTATCAGCAGCTCTTGAAGATACCAAAGATAAACTTGAGGCTGCTTCAACACCAAGTCCTTCACCAGATTTCAACCGTGATGAAATGGTCGCCGAGAAGGAGCATCTGAAGCAGACTGTTACAGCTTTACAAGATGAGATACTTCAGCTAAAAGAACAAAATGCTGCTATGGTATATAACTTTATAGTTGTTAACACCATTGAACTGCTGTTAAACATTAGTCCCCCCTGTATCCGCAATTGACGTTTTCTAAGTCCTACCCGAAACCACTGAGAGTAGCGAGCTCTATGTATGAGCCATTTTTCGTTGACATACATACAAATTTAATGCTTTTTTCATCTTAACTAATACCTTATCATGTACTGTAGATGTAACTGTTGCAGTTTGAGGTGCCACAGCAAAGCTAGACCGAATTTTTATTTTGTTCATCACAGAAACAGAACTTGTTGATACAGGGGTTTTACTGTACTTGTACCTGTTATCTTCATATATAATATTATACAGGTGCTCCTTGGCTTACGATGGTTTGACTTACGATATTTTGACTTTACGATGGTGCAAAAGCAGCTACTTTGGAGTTGAAATTTAAGATAATCATGCAGCATGAAAGTGGCAAGTTAGTAACTTTTTTTTTTTTTTTTCAACAAGTCGGCCGTCTCCCACCGAGGCAGGGTGACCCAAAAAAGAAAGAAAATCCCCAAAAAGAAAATACTTTCATCATCATTCAACACTTTCACCACACTCACACATTATCACTGCTTTTGCAGAGGTGCTCAGAATACAACAGCTTAGAAGCATATACGTATAAAGATACACAACATATCCCTCCAAACTGCCAATATCCCAAACCCCTCCTTTAAAGTGCAGGCAATGTACTTCCCATTTCCAGGACTTCAAGTCCGACTATATGAAAATAGACCGGTTTCCCTGAATTTTTGGGGGGGGGGTTTTTTTCAACAAGTCGGGCCGTCTCCCACCGAGGCAGGGACCCAAAAAAAGAAGAAAATCCCCAAAAAGAAAATACTTTCATCATCATCAACACTTTCACCACACTCGCACATTATCACTGTTTTGCAGAGGTGCTTCAGAATACAACAGTCTAGAAGCATACACATATAAAGGATACACAACATATCCCTCCAAACTGCCAATATCCAAACCCCTCCTTTAAAGGCAGGCATTGTACTTTCCCATTTCCAGACTCAAGTCCACTAATAGAAAATAACCGGTTTCCCGTACCACTTCACTAAATATTAACCCTGCTCACAAACTCCAACAGATCCGTCAGTCCCAAGTAACCATTCGTCATCCATCACTCCTACTAACACACGCTCACGCACCCTTGCTGGAAATCCAAGCCCTTACCCACAAAACCTCCTTTACAACCCCCTCTTCTCCAACCCTTTTCGAGACGACCCCTACCACCGCTTCCTTCCCCTATAGATTTAAATGCTTTCCATGTCATTCTAACTGTGATCCATTTCTCTCTAAATGACCAAACCCACCTCAACAACCCCTCTCCTGCCCTCTGACTAATACTTTTATTAAACTCCACAACCTTCTCCTAATTCCACTCTCCGAATTTTTTGCATAATATTTACACACACACATTCCCCTTAGACAGGACATCTCCGCTCCTCCAACCGTCTCCTGCTGCTGCATTACCAACCCAAGCTGTTCAACACCCATATAAGAGTGTAGTGGTACTACTAATACTTTCATACATTCACCTTCTTTGCCTCCATAGATAACGTTTTTTGACTCCTACATATACCTCAACGCACCACTCAACCTTTTTTCCCTCACAATTCTATGATTAATAACCTCAACCCTTCAAAAATCCATCCGCCGACAGTCAACATCCCAAGTATCTGAAAACATTCACTTCTTCCATACTCCTATACCATCTCTCCTCCCCAATTTGATATCCAATTTTTCTTTATTCTACATCATTTGACACCCTCATCACCTTATCTCTTTTCTCTATGTTCACGTTCCACTTTTACCTTTACACACATCCCAAATCTCATCCACTAACTCATTAGCAATTTTTCTTTAGAATCTCCATAAGCACAGTATCATCAGCAAAAAGAACTGTGTCAATTCCCATTTTGGAATTTGAATTCCCCATAATTTAATCCCACCCCTCTCCCAAACACCCTAGCCATTTACTTCCTTTACACCCATCTATAAATATATTAAACAACCATGGTGACATTACACATCCCTGTCTAAGACCTACTTTTACCGGGAAGTATTCTCCCCTCTCTTCCTACACACCCTAACCTGAGCCTCACTATCCTCATAAAAACTCTTTACAGCAATTAATAACTACCACCTATTTCCATATACTTGCAACATCTGCCACATTGCCTCCGTCTAATCCACTCTATCATATGCCTTTTCTAAAAACCATAAATGCAATAAAAACCTCCCTATCTTTATCTAAATCTGTTCAGCAAATATTCCTTCAATGTAACACCAGATCTACACATCCCCTACCCACTCTAAAACTCCTTGCTCCATTCCGAATCCTACATTCTGTCTTACCTCTAATTCTTTCATTAAACCTAACCGTACACTTTTCCTGGTAACTCAGTAAGCTTATTCCTTCTTAATTTTTACAGTCCTTTGTCCCCTTTCCCTTTATATAAAGGGACTATACATGCTCTCTGCCAATCCTAGGTACCTTTCCCCTCTTTTCATACATTATAAACCAAAAGTACCTAACCACTCAACAAAATCCCCCCCCCCTGCTTTCTTAACATTTCTGTCATGATCCCATCAGTTCAGCGCTTTACCCCTTTCCATTTTACGTCATGCCTCACGACCTCCCCCCACTTACATTCTGCTCTTCTTCACTCTAAAAGATGGTATACCTATCCCTGCCAGTGGCATGAATACTGGCCTCTGTTTCTTCCTAACATTTAAAAAAGTTCACTCAAAATATTCCTGCCATCTACCCAATACCTCCATCTCCCTCCCCATCTACTAACTCCCCTACTCGTTTTTATACTGACAAATCCATATTTTCCCCTAGGCTTTCTTAACTTGTTTAAAACTCGCTCCAAAATTTTTTCTTATTTTCATTAAAATTTCTGACAGTGCCTCTCATCCCACTCTATCATCTGCTCTCCTTTTGCACTCTCCTCAACACTCTCTTTACTTTCTTTACTCTCCATATACTCTGCTCTTCTTATAACACTTCTGCTTTGTAAAAACTCTCATAAGCTACCTTTTTCTCTTTATCACAACCATTACTTCATCAATCCACCATTCACTCCTCTTTCCTCCTCCTTCCGCCCACCCTCCTATAATCCACAAACTTCTGCCCCACATTTTCTAATACTGCATTTTTTTTAAAACTATTCCCAACCCTCTTCACACCCCCCCACACTCATCTTTTGCACTAGCCCACCTTTCTGGCCAATTAGGTCCGCTATAATCTCACCCAACTTCCTCCCTCCTTAGTTTATACACTTTCACCTTCCCTCTTACTGTTGTTGCCACCTTCCTCTTTTCCCTCCCATCTACCTCTTACTCTAACTGTACGCTACAACTATAATAATGATCCGATATATCAGTTGCCCCTCTATAAAAAACATGTGACACCTGGAGCCTACCCATCAACCCTTTTATCCACCATACATAATCTAATAAACTACATTCATTACTGCTACAATCATACCTTGTAAATATTTATTTTAATCACCTCTGTTTTCATAAAAGATGTATTACTTATTACCAAATTTTCTTTCTACCATTCTCAATTAAGGCTACCCCATTTACATTTACCCAGGCACCCCAAATTTACCTACTACTTCCCTCCATAAACTTTTTTACACCCCACTTTTAGCATTAAAAATCCTCCAACCACCATTACTCTCACATCTTGATTCAAAACTCCCTCCACGCATTCACTCAAACAATTTCCAAAATCTCTCTCTCCATTCCTCTACACTTCTCTCTTCTCCAGGTGCATACACCTTATTATCACCCACTTTTCACATCCAATCTTTATTTTGCTCCACATAATCCTTGAATTAATACATTAATAGTCCCCCACTTTCCTACCATAGTTATCCTTCAACATTATTGCTACTCCTTCATTAGTCTCTAACTCTATTTGAAATCCCCCTGACCTATCCCATTATTCTCTCCACTGAACTCTCCCACCGGGCCCTCAGCTTGTTTTCACTTAAAGCCAGGACAACCCAGCTTTTTCTCATTCATAACATCCCACAATCATCTCTTTCTTTTATCATCTGCACAACATCCACGCACATTTAGACTTTCCCACTTTGACAATTTTCTTCTTCTTATTCTTTTTAGTAAATCTTTACAGGAAAGGGGTTTACTAGCCCATTGGTTTCCCTCCACCGGCATTTTAGTTGACTTTAACAACAACGCATGGCTTACGGAGGAAGATCTTTATTCACTTCCCTCATGGATATAAAAGGAAAATTAATAAAGACCAAAACTAATTAAGATAAATCAAAGAAAACTCAGATGAGTGTGTATAAATAAATGTGTACATGTATGTGTAGTGTGACCTAAGTGTAAGTGAATCCCTTCACTAAATATTACCCTGCTCACACTCCAACAGATCGTCAGGTCCCAAGTATCATTCGTCTCCATTCACTCCTATCTAACACGCTCATGCACGCTTGCTGGAAGTCCAAGCCCCTCACCCACAAAACCTCCTTTACCCCCTCTTTCCAACCCTTTCGAGGACGACCCCTACCCCGCCTTCCTTCCCCTATAGATTTATATGCTTTCCATGTCATTCTACTTTGATCCATTCTCTCTACGGTTCAGATTTCCCTCTGATGTGCTGCTGGAGTGTGAGCAAGGTAACATTTATGAAAGAATTCAGGGAAACTGTTTATCCGGACTTGAGTCCTGGAGGTGGGAAGCACAGTACCTGCTCTCTGAAGGAGGGATGAGGATGTTGCAGTTTGGAAGGTTATCTGAACTCTGATGTCAGCACACTTCTGGCAAAACAGTATTTGAATGGAAGTAAATGGGTTTCTTTCTACAGGTCACCCTGCCTTGGCAGGAGACAGTCATTGAGGTAAATAAAAAAAAAAAAAGTTTTAACACGCTGGCCATCTCCCACCAAGGCAGGGCAACCTGAAAAAGAAACACTTTCACCATCATTCACACTATAATTTTATTACTCCTCACCATGCAGACAAATGACAACAGACAACTCTCTAAACTGGTGGATCAGCTGTCTTGCAACGTGGAGGAACTGGAGATGAAGATAGAACGAAGCCACACTGAAGAAGTGGACACATCGCAGCTGCTTGCCGCCATGCAGAGTGACAAGGTTGCTGCTGCTCGTGCCCTTACTCAAAATAAACAGCTTAAAGAGCAGCTGGAAGAACTACAGAGTGGTTTTATTATAATGGTAAGTAAAGACTTCGTGTAGAATGAAAGATACAATACCATGGCTGGATTATTATTAATATAATCAGGGAAATTTTTTCCCAGTTAAAGTAGGCCTTAGACAAGGATGTGTGATGTCACCGTGGTTGTTTAATATATTTATAGATGGGGTTGTAAGAGAAGTAAATGCGAGGGTCTTGGCAAGAGGCGTGGAGTTAAAAGATAAAGAATCACACACAAAGTGGGAGTTGTCACAGCTGCTCTTTGCTGATGACACTGTGCTCTTGGGAGATTCTGAAGAGAAGTTGCAGAGATTGGTGGATGAATTTGGTAGGGTGTGCAAAAGAAGAAAATTAAAGGTGAATACAGGAAAGAGTAAGGTTATGAGGATAACAAAAAGATTAGGTGATGAAAGATTGAATATCAGATTGGAGGGAGAGAGTATGGAGGAGGTGAACGTATTCAGATATTTGGGAGTGGACGTGTCAGCGGATGGGTCTATGAAAGATGAGGTGAATCATAGAATTGATGAGGGAAAAAGAGTGAGTGGTGCACTTAGGAGTCTGTGGAGACAAAGAACTTTGTCCTTGGAGGCAAAGAGGGGAATGTATGAGAGTATAGTTTTACCAACGCTCTTATATGGGTGTGAAGCATGGGGGATGAATGTTGCAGCGAGGAGAAGGCTGGAGGCAGTGGAGATGTCATGTCTGAGGGCAATGTGTGGTGTGAATATAATGCAGAGAATTCGTAGTTTGGAAGTTAGGAGGAGGTGCAGGATTACCAAAACTGTTGTCCAGAGGGCTGAGGAAGGGTTGTTGAGGTGGTTCGGACATGTAGAGAGAATGGAGCAAAACAGAATGACTTCAAGAGTGTATCAGTCTGTAGTGGAAGGAAGGCGGGGTAGGGGTCGGCCTAGGAAAGGTTGGAGGGAGGGGGTAAAGGAGGTTTTGTGTGCGAGGGGCTTGGACTTCCAGCAGGCATGCATGAGTGTGTTTGATAGGAGTGAATGGAGACAAATGGTTTTTAATACTTGACGTGCTGTTGGAGTGTGAGCAAAGTAACATTTATGAAGGGATTCAGGGAAACCGGCAGGCCGGACTTGAGTCCTGGAGATGGGAAGTACAGTGCCTGCACTCTGAAGGAGGGGTGTTAATGTTGCAGTTTAAAAACTGTAGTGTAAAGCACCCTTCTGGCAAGACAGTGATGGAGTGAATGATGGTGAAAGTTTTTCTTTTTCGGGCCACCCTGCCTTGGTGGGAATCGGCCAGTGTGATAAAAAAAAAAAAAAATCAGGGGGCAATTTAGCGATTGAATTATTACACTTGTTTCTCTTTTTTGGGGAGTCACTTTACCTCGGTGAGAGACACCAATGTGTTCACCACTGGTGAACACAATCTAGGTTGAGGGACTGATTACCTCATCATCTACTATCTCCAGTTTCAACACCTTCAAATAACCTCTGTGCTGAATTGATAAAGCCACTAACTGGCAAAACTTTTCTTTCTTTCAATAAACCGGCCGCATCCCACTGAGGCAGGGTGGCCCAAAAAGAAAAACAAAAGTTTCTCTTTTTAAATTTCGTAAAGCAGGCAAAACATCTTCATAATAAAGATACTCAAGTGTTGTACATATGTCTTATTCATTGTTTATTATTATTATTATTATTATTATTATTATTATTATTATTATTAATGTGGGTTATTCAGCACACAACGTGGTAGGGGCTGGATCCCACATATGCTAATTGAAGACACTACTACGAAACATACACATTTGTGGTAATGTTGAGAGAGAGAGAAATTAGATTTTTTTTTTCTTTTCAACAAACTGGCCGGGTGGTCCAAAAAGAAAAACGCAAGTTTCTCTTTTTAAATTTAGTAATTTATATAGGAGAAGGGGTTACTAGCACCTTGTTCCCAGCATTTTAGTCTCCTCTTACAACACACATGGCTTATGGAGGAAGAATTCTGTTCCACTTCCCCATGGAGATAAGAGGAACTAAACAAGAAAATGAACTAGAAAGAAAATAGAAGAAAACCCAGAGGGGTGTGTATATATATGCTTGTACATGTATGTGCAGTGTGACCAAAGTGTAAGTAGAAGTAGCAAGACATACCTGAAATCTTGCATGTTTAAGAGACAGAAAAAAGACACCAGCAATCCTACCATCATGTAAAACAATTACAGGATTCCGTTTTACACTCACTTGGCAGGACGGTAGTACCTCCCTGGGTGGTTGCTCTCTACCGACCTACTTTTTTTTTTTTCACCAAGTCGGCCGTCTCCCACCGAGGCAGGGTGACCCAAAAAAGAAAGAAAATCCCCAAAAAAGAAAATGCTTTCATCATCATTCAACACTTTCACCACACTCACACATTATCACTGTTTTTGCAGAGGTGTTCAGAATACAACAGTTTAGAAGCATATACGTATAAAGATACACAACATATCCCTCCAAACTGCCTACTACCTACAAAAAATTAGATTTACATTGTCTGGATTTTTCATACATCTTAAGCTTATTGTATGAAATTTTTCAGAGTAACAAGAAACTAGAGCTGACAGAAAAATTGGAGAAGGAATTGCATGTAAGAAAAGCTCTCAACCAGGAGATTGCAACATTGAATGAGGATATTACAAACATGAAGTAAGTCTTCTCTTTAGTGCATTGCAAAAAAGTTGACTAACATTTAAAAACTGAAGCTGGTATTTAAATCACTTCATCAGCTGCAAGTCTTAAGTTTTTTAATTCCACACTGGTAATCAGTAGCTGTTACACTTGTACTGTCGTGAAAATAAGTTATACACGTACGTATACAGTGGACCCCCGCTTTACGATCAGCTCCCAATGCGACCAATTATGTAAGTGTATTTATGTAAGTGCTTTTGTACGTGTATGTTTGGGGGTCTGAAATGGACTAACCTAATTCACAATATTCCTTATGGGAACAAATTCGTTCAGTAATGGCACCTGAACATAATTCTGGAATGAAATAATATCGTAAACCGGGGGTCCACTGTACTGTCATGAAAAATTAGTCACAGTTCTGTAGCTGGAACCATTCACACCTCAGACTTGATATATCACAATTTGTGGGTTAGTTTTGATCTTTACTCTATCACTGAGGGTCAGGATCCATGCACTTAAAACACCTGTGTGAAGTTCAGTTAAATTTCTAGTTTTTTCTTTACCGGGAGTGGGATGAGGCTCAGGATAAGCTTTAGTAACATTACGGTGTTCTGTAACTGGGTTGGTAGTGTACTCAGCTCACACACTACACACTAAGGTTCGTGGTTCGATCACTGGTAAAGGTGGATACATTAGGGTGTGTTTCCTTAAGACACCTGCTGTCCCTGTTTACCTGGGTGTTAGTCAGCTGGTGTGAGTTGCATCCTGGGGACAAAATGAACCTAATTTCCCCAAAATGCTCTGCATAACCATCGACTTTCTATATAGTATGACATTGATTAACTATGGTCTGTATATTTGTGCATATAGAAATTATTATTATTATTATTATTATTATTATTGTTATTATTATTAACCTTTGTATTTCTAGTGTTTCTTTTCATTGTTAACCAGGCAGCAGTTAGTTGAAAAAGATAGAGATATTACAGTCTTGAGAGAAAATGGAGAATCTCTCGGTGCACATCTGATGTCAATAAACCAAAGTCAACATCAGACTGACGTAAACCAGATGATGCAGGCCATGGAACAATTATCCAAGGAAAATACAACATATGAAGAACATGTGAGCAAACTAGAAGAAAAACTAAGACTCTCTCAGGTAAACTAAAATACTTACTTTTGTAAGAAAAAAGATTTTCTTCTTTTAATATTGCAAGATGGAGCCATGTTGAAATGTGTGTTTCTAGTTCCAAAATTTATAATAAATGATAGTTTTTGCAAATAGATTTCAGGTATGTCTTGCTACTTCTACTTACACTTAGGTCACACTTCACATACATGTACAAGCATATATATACACACCCCTCTGGGTTTTCTTCTATTTTCTTTCTAGTTCTTGTTCTTGTTTATTTCCTCTTATCTCCATGGGGAAGTGGAACAGAATTCTTCCTCCGTAAGCCATGCGTGTTGTAAGAGGCGACTAAAATGCCGGGAGCAAGGGGCTAGTAACCCCTTCTCCCGTATAAATTACTAAATTTAAAAAGAGAAACTTTTGTTTTTCTTTTTGGGCCACCCTGCCTTGGTGGGATATGGCCAGTTTGTTGAAAGAAGAAGAAGTTTTTGCAAATGTACGAAAAGTGAGGTAGAGATTGATAGAAGAGTTTGGAAAGATATATAAAAGAATAAAGTTGAAAGTGAATACAGAAAAGAACAAGGTTATGAAAATAAATAACATTATTCTCAACAGAATGAGAGATTACAGGAAACAGTATAGAGGAAGTAAATGTCTGTTGATGCTTGTGAGTAAATGTCTATGAACAATAAGGTGTATTGCAGAATACATGAGGGAAAGAAGTTACAGAAGTGTTGAGAAATCTGTGGAAAAAAGCTTCAGTGGATGCAACAGGAAAACGTATCAAAGTATAATGGTGTAGATACATTTATATAGGTATGATGCAGTGGGAGATTTTTTATACATCAGCTGTGTCTCTCATCAAGGTACAGTGACCCGAAAAAGAAGAAGCAAAAATTTTTCTTCTTTTTACATTTAGTAATTTATACAGGAGAAGGGGTTAGTAGCCCCTTGTTCCTGGCTTTTTAGTTGCTTCTTACAACACACGTGGCTTATGGAGGAGATATTCTCCTCCACTTTCCCATGGAGGAGCAGTGAGAGATGTTTTGTGCTAAATTAGTACAGTGGACCCCCGGTTTACGATATTATTTCATTCCAGAAGTATGTTCAGGTGCCAGTACTGACCGAATTTGTTCCCATAAGGAATATTGTGAATTAGATTAGTCCATTTCAGACCCTCAAACATACACATACAAACGCACTTACATAAATACACTTACATAATTGGTCGCATTGGGAGCTGATCGTAAACCGGGGGTCCACTGTATTTGGTTTGAATATTCAGAGAATACAAAATTAGAAGATGGTGTGATGGTATGAAATGTTTAATTCAGAGTATGAAGGAGTAGTGGCTGAGATGGTTCATTTATGTAGGAAGTTAAATATAAGGTAGTATTAGTCTGGTCTGGATATAAGGATGTATGAGGAACATCCAAGGAAGGATTTTATAAATGACATGCAGCAGATTGATACACTTGTTAGATCAGAGTGAGTGGAGGCAGGTGGCTTTCAGGGTTTGAAGCCCTGTTGGAGTGCAAGCATGGTAATATCTAAAAAAAAAAAAAAAAAAGATTCTAGGAACCTGAAGGATTGGTGAGAAAGATGCTGTTTGGAAGGTCATTGAAACTGTGATGTCTGGCAAGACAGCTATTGAACAAGTGATGGTGAATGTGTCAGTTTTGAGGATTGCACATGAGTATTATAATACAGTGAACCCCCGCCTTATGAACGCATCGCGTTACGTTAAATCCGCCATACGAAGCATTTGAATCCAAAAATTTTGCCTCGCCTCATGATAAAAAACTCGCCTTACGTGATTCGTCCGGGACGCCTCAGCGCCAGTGTTTACAAGCCAGCCAGTGGCCTCAGCGCCAGTGTTTACAAGCCAGCCAGTGTAGTCACATCTACGCATACATTCGGTACATTTCACATTATCCCAGTGTTTTTAGTGCTTGTAACTGCAAAATAAGTCACCATGGACCCCAAGAAAGATTCTAGTGCCATCCCTGTGGTAAAAAGAGCGAGAATTAGTATGGAATTGAAAAAAGAGATTAAGGAAATGTGTGCAAAGTGGGTTGAACTGCAAACCTTTACAGATGAAAATCACCCTGACACAGCTACTGCAAGCCATGTTGGCAACCTGTACAATGACAATGTTATGGCCCATTTTAGGAAAGTCTTAAAGGAACGGGAGGTACAGAGCTTTATGAACAGATTTGTTGTGTGACAGAGGTCCAGCGACTCTCAAGCTGGTCCTAGTGGCATTAAAAGAAGGGAAGTAACCCCGGAAAAGGACTTGCTACCTCAGGTCCTAATGGAAGGAGATTCCCCCCCCTAAACATTAACACCATCCACAGTCTCCCCTCCTCCCATCCCATCAATCATCACCAGATCTTCAATAAAGGTAAGTGTCATGTATCCTATTCTTAGTAGAGTAGTAATTGTGCATGTCTTCTTCAGTTTGTGTGTTATTTTTTTTTTATTATCACACCGGCCGATTCCCACCAAGGCAGGGTGGCCCGAAAAAGAAAAACTTTCACCATCATTCACTCCATCACTGTCTTGCCAGAAGGGTGCTTTACACTACAGTTTTTAAACTGCAATATTAACACCCCTCCTTCAGAGTGCAGGCACTGTACTTCCCATCTCCAGGACTCAAGTCCGGCCTGCCGGTTTCCCTGAATCCCTTCATAAATGTTACTTTGCTCACACTCCAACAGCACGTCAAGTATTAAAAACCATTTGTCTCCATTCACTCCTATCAAACACGCTCCACGCATGCCTGCTGGAAGTCCAAGCCCTTCGCACACAAAACCTCCTTTACCCCCTCCCTCCAACCCTTCCTAGGCCGACCCCTACCCCGCCTTCCTTCCACTACAGACCGATACACTCTTGAAGTCATTCTGTTTCGCTCCATTCTCTCTACATGTCCGAACCACCTCAACAACCCTTCCTCAGCCCTCTGGACAACAGTTTTGGTAATCCCGCACCTCCTCCTAACTTCCAAACTACGAATTCTCTGCATTATATTCACACCACACATTGCCCTCAGACATGACATCTCCACTGCCTCCAGCCTTCTCCTCGCTGCAACATTCATCACCCACGCTTCACACCCATATAAGAGCGTTGGTAAAACTATACTCTCATACATTCCCCTCTTTGCCTCCAAGGACAAAGTTCTTTGTCTCCACAGACTCCTAAGTGCACCACTCACTCTTTTTCCCTCATCAATTCTATGATTCACCTCATCTTTCATAGACCCATCCGCTGACACGTCCACTCCCAAATATCTGAATACGTTCACCTCCTCCATACTCTCTCCCTCCAATCTGATATTCAATCTTTCATCACCCAATCTTTTTGTTATCCTCATAACCTTACTCTTTCCTGTATTCACCTTTAATTTTCTTCTTTTGCACACCCTACCAAATTCATCCACCAATCTCTGCAACTTCTCTTCAGAATCTCCCAAGAGCACAGTGTCATCAGCAAAGAGCAGCTGTGACAACTCCCACTTTGTGTGTGATTCTTTATCTTTTAACTCCACGCCTCTTGCCAAGACCCTCGCATTTACTTCTCTTACAACCCCATCTATAAATATATTAAACAACCACGGTGACATCACACATCCTTGTCTAAGGCCTACTTTTACTGGGAAAAAATTTCCCTCTTTCCTACATACTCTAACTTGAGCCTCACTATCCTCGTAAAAACTCTTCACTGCTTTCAGTAACCTACCTCCTACACCATACACTTGCAACATCTGCCACATTGCCCCCCTATCCACCCTGTCATACGCCTTTTCCAAATCCATAAATGCCACAAAGACCTCTTTAGCCTTATCTAAATACTGTTCACTTATATGTTTCACTGTAAACACCTGGTCCACACACCCCCTACCTTTCCTAAAGCCTCCTTGTTCATCTGCTATCCTATTCTCCGTCTTACTCTTAATTCTTTCAATTATAACTCTACCATACACTTTACCAGGTACACTCAACAGACTTATCCCCCTATAATTTTTGCACTCTCTTTTATCCCCTTTGCCTTTATACAAAGGAACTATGCATGCTCTCTGCCAATCCCTAGGTACCTTACCCTCTTCCATACATTTATTAAATAATTGCACCAACCACTCCAAAACTATATCCCCACCTGCTTTTAACATTTCTATCTTTATCCCATCAATCCCGGCTGCCTTACCCCCTTTCATTTTACCTACTGCCTCACGAACTTCCCCCACACTCACAACTGGCTCTTCCTCACTCCTACAAGATGTTATTCCTCCTTGCCCTATACACGAAATCACAGCTTCCCTATCTTCATCAACATTTAACAATTCCTCAAAATATTCCTTCCATCTTCCCAATTAATTAATATTTCATGTGGTAAATTTTTTTTTTTCATACTTTCGGGTGTCAGGAATGGATTAATTTGATTTCCCTTATTTCTTATGAGGAAAATTAATTCAGCTAACGATAATTTCGGCTTACGATGAGCTCTCAGGAATGGATTAATATCATAAGGCGGGGGTCCACTGTATATACAAATAATCCTGTCATAGGAGAGAGAGAGAGAGGCTTACACAGATGTTTCAGCCCAACTTTGGCCATTTGCTAGTGGGTTACCAGTAAGTGAATTTTTGGCAGGTTATTGAAGCTGCGCCATATGTTTGGAGTATTGTCTTTGCCATTCCAAATGGAACAAAATTAGCATTGAAAAAAACAATTACAAAAACAATTAGGATCAAGGATTGCTTTTTCTTTATTTAAAAGATTGATATAATTTTTTCTGTGTTCTTTACTGTAGTTAGAAATGAATTGTGGATAATGGTTTAATAAAGTACATAAATTGTGTAAATTACTGTATATAAATTTTTCATCATTCCAATTAAGATTTTGTTTTTAAATCGCTACTTGTTTTTTCTCTTGCAAACCTTCACGTTCTCTTAAATCTCCTCTCATATATTAAATTTTCACTCTTAGGTTGAAACAGAAGAATTGTCAAGACAGAACTCAAAACTCCATAACCTTATAACAGCATATAGTTCTCAGACAACAAGGAATGAGAATTTACAGTCAACCACTGTAAACACTTCAGATGAAATGAATTCCGAAAGTAAGTTATTAATTAATTCATCTACATTATTTATCTACATAATGTTTGTGATATCTCATGTCCTTTGTTCCATTATCTATTATCCTTAGTGGAAAATCGCCATTTTTTTTTTTTTTTACACATTGGCCATTTCCCGCCAGGATGACCCAAAAAAAGAAGAAACACTTTCATTATCACTCACTCCATCACTGTCTTGCAGGAGGTATACCTGCACTACAGTTCAGAAACAGCAAAATATCTCACCCCCCTCCTTATAGAGTTGATGGAATACTATTAAGATTATGAGGTTAATACTGTTAGCATGGTATGCGTATTGAGCATCTAGCAGGCTGTGAAGCTTACTTTTGTGAAGTGAGCGCAGACAAGTAGTTGTTTATCTTGGTGTGCTGTTGGAGTGTGAACATTGCAACATTTATGGAGTCATGGAAACCAGTTAGCCAGACTTGAGTCCTGGAGGTGGGGAAGTTCAGTGTCTGTGTTCTGAAGGAGGGTTGGGGATATTGCTTTTCAGATGGTCATATGAATGGTGATGTCTGCAAAGTTTTGGCAAGATAGCTATTGCATGAGCAGTGTTGCATGTGTTTCAGGTTTTGGATTGCCCTACCTTGGTGGGCAATGGCCAGTGTGTTTAAAAATGCAAATTATAATGACAACTTACTGCATAATAATTTTGTGACAGTTTTGTGTAAAAAAGGGACAAATTAGCAGTAGTATTATATAGATTAGGGGTAAGTAAATAGGCAATAGTAGCAGTAATATTTGATTTTGTTACAGATAATGAGGGAAGTAGTAATTTATTATCCGAAATTGCTAGCCTTACGGCATTAGTGAGCAAACTTGAGCTGGAGCGCAACAACTTGCAGTCTCAGCTTAATTCCGAGAGGACCAAATGTGCCAAGTTGTCACAAGATGCTGCACAAGAGCTCCCACAGACTGTAATAACCTCTCAACCAACAGGTAAATTACCATTAGCAAATTCCTCACATATAATTTTAATATAGAATAAAAAGTGCCAGTATCGTGGCTGGAACAACACACAATCCACACTCGGGAGATTGAAACTCATGTCTATGTTTCAGTCTTCTAAGTGTGAGTTATTTTTGTATAATTTTAATATCTTTCAAATGGGTAGTGTGTACAGTATCCAGAAAGTTTTGCTACCATCCATATGCTCTATTTTGTTACTGGGATTTGGCAGAAATGAATCATTTTAAAGTCAGAGTTTCTTTCCACATGAAACAGAGATGGGTGACATTTGATTTCATGCAGAAAGCCCATGGTTATGCAGAGCATATCAGGCAAGCTTAAGTCTCACTTAAGACTACAATGGCAATAAACATTTACATATATGTATTTTTTTTTTCAACAAGTTGGCCGTCTCCCACCGAGGCAGGGTGGCCCAAAAAAGAAAGAAAATCCCTAAAAAGAAAATACTTTCATCATCATTCAACACTTTCACCACACTCACACATTATCACTGTTTTTGCAGAGGTGCTCAGAATACAACAGTTCAGAAGCATATACGTATAAAGATCATTAAATGCACACAACTAGGTATTAGTAGGTTGGTAGACAGCAACTGCCCAGGGAGGTACTACCATCCTGCCAAGGCCTGTAATTGTTTTACATGATGGTAAGATTGCTGGTTACAGGTAGTAGGTTGGTAGACAGCAACCTTCCAGGGAGGTACTACTGTCCTACCAAGTGAGTGTAAAACAGAAGACCGTAATTGTTTTATATGATGTTCGGATTGGTGGTGTCTTTTTTCTGTCTCATGAACATGCAAGATTTCAAGTACGTCTTGCTACTTCTACTTACACTTAGGTCACACTACACATGCATGTACAAGCATATATATACACACCCCTTTGGGTTTTATTCTTTTTCTTACTAGTTCTTGCTTATTCCTTCTTGTCTCCATGGGGGAGTGAAGCAGAATTCTTCCTCCGTAAGCCATGCGTGTAGTAAGAGGCGACTAAAATGCTGGGAGCAAGGGGCTAGTAACCCCTTCTCCTGTATACATTACTAAAGTTAAAAAAAGAAACTTTTCTTTTTCTTTTTGGGCCACTCTGCCTCAGTGGGATACAGCCGGTACACTGAAAGAACAAGAAGAAATGTGATTACGTATGAATGATAGTGAAAGTGTTGATTTCTTTTTTGAGTCACCCTGCCTCGGTGAGTATGGCCAGTTTGTTGAAAAAAAATGTAAGTAGATTAACCCTTTGACTGTTTAGGCCGTATATATACGTCTTACGAGCCAGTGTTTCGGATGTATATACATGTATACTCAATAATTCGGTTTATTAGCAGTTTGGAGGGATATGTTGTGTATCTTTATATGTATATGATTCTAAACTGTTGTGTTCTGAGCACCTCTGCAAAAACAGTGATTATGTGTGAGTGAGGTGAAAGTGTTGAATGATGATGAAAGTATTTTTTGGGGGGGATTTTCTTTCTTTTTTGGGTCACCCTGCCTCGGTGGGAGACGGCCGACTTGTTGAAAAAAAAAAAAATCAAGCTTCAAAAAAAAAAATCAGGCTTCAAATTCATATGAAACCAACCCTTGTGGGTCATTGAATACAAGTAATAGTGGAGGCTTAATCCTTTGTTTGCTAATCATTTAGAACGCATTCTAATTGCATTAATTTGCTTGCTCTAAATTCTATTCTCTGGTTGTCTAATGAGGGAATTTCCATTTACGTACATGTATCTATATAATTTTTGTTCGGATTACTTAAAACTTCCACTACTTTTGGCTGGTGGAAGGAGACTGAAAATATTCTTACATGGTCCTTTGGCCAAGCATCTCTTGGGTTTGAAACTTACATGCAGTGGGTAACACTGTTATTTAAAATTATTAAAACATTTTGGCATGGTCAAGGTGGTCATTGATCTGTGTTTGAGTCTTGGAACATGCATGCACATACGGAAGGGCCCTGCATATACAGCTTCTTTTCGGTGTTCCATGTTTTCGTTAGCTTCAAATTGAGCCATTGTTCGTTATGTTCCACACGCTGGCAGTTGTCACGCCGGTGCGTGGAACATAATGAACAATGACTCAGTTGAAAGCCATTGAAAATATGGAACATCGAAAATAAGTGCTGTATATATGGGACCTTCCTGTACACACAAAACAAAAATATTGGTTATGAAGAAGGGCTGTTAAAAGGGTACAAGGAGACATGATAACCACATTCAGGATATGAGAGGATATACAGTTGACAAGGAAAACTTGTAACTTCATCAACTGGCATAACAAAAGGCCATAAACTACAATGTTAAAAGAGAAAAGCTACTGAAAGAACACTAGAAAGTTTTATTTACAGAACATTAGATCAATGAAATGTGCTAGAGGAGAGAGTAGTAGTTAATACTACCATTGGAAATTTCATTAAAAAGCTTTAAGATCTATGAAATACTGAAGACTGGACACCACAAGCATAACTGTGTTCCTGTAGTTACATACAGGTAATCACAAATATGTATTTGCATGTAGTTTTTCCCACAATCTTTATTCTCTTCTTTTAGACTGTGTCTCTTATGTACCAGAGGAGGTACACTGTACCCCCCATACATATTTACTTGGTACTGGTGCTGAACTCTCGGCAGTGTAAAAAACTTAACTTGCCCTTTAACCTTAAGAGTTGGTTATTAATACAACTGGCAATTGCAAGACTGTGAGTCCTGGAGGTGGAAAGTATGATGCCAGCACTCTGAAGGTGGGATGGAGATTTTTTTTATTATTATCACACCGGCCGATTCCCACCAAGGCAGGGTGGCCCGAAAAAGAAAAACTTTCACCATCATTCACTCCATCACTGTCTTGCCAGAAGGGTGCTTTACACTACAGTTTTTAAACTGCAACATTAACACATATGTTGCAGTTTTTAACTGTAGTGCAGGCTCGCCTCTGGCAAGACAGTGATGGTGTTAATGATGATGAAGGTATTTCTTCTTTTTTGGGTCACCCTGCCTCGGTAGGAAACAGCCAATGTGTTAATAAAAAATAGTTTACAGTAATTGATGTCAGCTGCATTACATTTCAGCGACACAACCAAGCAAAGAATTGTCAGTCGAGAGTTTCCTCAGCTTGCAGGAAGCACATAAAGCTCTGGAAGACAGATTTAGCCGAAGTATGAAGCAAGTAGCGGAGTTGAGCGATGACAAGCAGCGTCTGGAGCACGTAATCCAGCAACTGCAGGTTGAAACTGAAACTATAGGCAAGTATCTTGGTTCAGAGTTGCAGTTCTTTTTTTTTCTCAGGGTAATCAGGTGATCAAGGCAAGCAGCCGTATAGAAGACCATGCTCATACATGCTTGTGGCTTTCTTTGTGTCCACAATATTTTATTACATGTAAACTACACACTGTATAATATGTAAAGACATAACAATTTTGAATTCTGAATTGGAATTTCAAATGCCTGTTTCTGTACAAGGGCAGGCCAATAGAGGCAAATGTTTGCTTAACATTCCTTTGTTGATGGTGACTGCCTGTAATCTGAAGTAAATTTAGTATGTAAAGTATTCAGTTGAAATTTGTGTGATGGGATGAAGAGCTGGATCTCAACTCCCTTCAAACATCTAGAAACATCAGACACGTTTCCTTGTACCTATTGTCCCTGTTGACCTGATAAGTACCAATGTTATGTACTGTTGCAGATCTCATCCTGCTAAACAGGACTTAAACCAGAATGATTGTCTTTTATATTTGAGTTACTCCTGGTTTCTTTCCCTCTGGATTGGTAATATAAATAAAATATTCTCTAAAGTTTTTCACCAATACACAAAAATTTTTTTATATAAGATTTAATTTTATTAACACCATATTCCACTGTTTTGTTGTAACTGGTATTCCTTTTTCCTTTTTCAGGAGATTATATCACAATTTACCAGTTCCAGCGAGGGGTAATGAAACAGCAGGCACGAGAACGTGAATTGGAGTTGTCTAGCCTCTTGCATGAACGAGAGGAAATGAGGATTAAGCTTGCAACTTTACAAGTTAGAACATTTTGTACTTAATTTTTTTATATATCAAGAAATTAATACATTATTATTATTATAATCAAGGGGGAAGCGCTAAACCCGGAGGATTATACAGCAGAAATTAATACAGGTGTCCCTTGTTTTTATGTTGTAGCTGCATTTCGAGCCCATGATAACTGTACTATACTCACAGAGGCCTAATACACTTATTTCCCATCTGAGTTTGGATCTATTTTCTTAATAGTTCTTGTTCTTCTTCATTTCCTTTCATCTCTTTGGGAACTGGAAAAGAATTTTTCCTTCCTAAGCCATGCGTGTTGTAAGAAGCAACAAAGGTGCGGGGAGTAAGGGGCTAGTAACCCCTTCTCCTGTATACATTACTAAAGTTGAATAAGAGAAGCTTTCATTTTTATTTTCGGGCTACCCTGCTTCAGTGGGATGCGGCCGATTTGTTGAAAGAAAGAAAGAAAAGAAGGAAACTTTTATATAGCGAATCCTCATTAATCAAGGGACACCCATATTTGTTTAGTGCGTAAATATAAAAATAATAATGGCATGTGTCTTTTTGTATTCATGCATCATGAGAAAGCAAATAGCACTGAAAATTCATATAAAAATAATAATAATTCTATAATAATAAAAGGTGGGTGGTGTGTTGAAGCATTTGTGGAAAGAAAGTTTATGGAGGTAAAAAGGGAAGTAAAGGTTGGAGGGAGGGGGTAAAGGAGGTTTTGTGTGCGAGGGGCTTGGACTTCCAGCAGGCATGCGTGAGCGGGTTTGATAGGAGTGAATGGAGACAAATGGTTTTTAATACTTGACGTGCTGTTGGAGTGTGAGCAAAGTAACATTTATGAAGGGGTTCAGGGAAACCGGCAGGCCGGACTTGAGTCCTGGAGATGGGAAGTACAGTGCCTGCACTCTGAAGGAGGGGTGTTAATGTTGCAGTTTAAAAACTGTAGTGTAAAGCACCCTTCTGGCAAGACAGTGATGGAGTGAATGATGGTGAAAGTTTTTCTTTTTCGGGCCACCCTGCCTTGGTGGGAATCGGCCAGTGTGATAATAAAATAAATAAATACTAGTGTAGTGGTATAAACAGTTTTATATAAGTGAGGCATGGGATTTGAATGCTGCAGCAAAAAGGAGGCAAGAGGCAGTGGCGATGCCCTGTTTGAGAGCAGTGTGTGGGGTGAATATCATGCAGGGAATTTGGAGTGTAGAAATTGAAAGGTGATGTGGGGTGACCAGGGGTTTAAGAGAGCCAAGGGGTTGTTGAGGTGGTTTGGGCATGTAAAGAGGATGGACAGGGATAGGTTGACGAAGAGAGAGTATAAATCCGAGCTGGATAGTAGAAAGGAAAAGGGTCATTTCAAGAATAGCTTGAGTGAGGGGGTACAGGAGGCTTTGAGTTTTACAGGCTTGAACATTCAGCAGGCTTTGTTGAGCGAGTTAGATAGGAGTGGGTGGAGACAAGTGGAGACAAGTGGTTTAAGGGACGTGCTGTTGGAGTGCAAGCATAATAACTTTTATGAAGGAATTCAGGGAAAACTGGTTAGCCAAAGGTGGGAAGGGCAGTGCCTGCACTCTGCAGGAGGGGTGGGGATGTTACTCTCAGAGGGGTAATAATGATAACAGAATAGACAAGATGTAGAGCTGCACATAAAGGCTCTTTAAGTAATTGGAGTTACCCTTCCCTTGGATGAAACCTGATTGTCTCCCATTACCCAGGAACTTTAAGACCCATGCAGGTATAGCTCTTCCCATGTTGTCTGTAATGGTAATGATTCAATACTTCATGATGGTTATATTTCAGGACTTAGTGTCAACTCTAGCACTGGAGAAGGGGCCAGACCACGAGAAGGTGATCAAGATGACCAATGTTATCAAGAGTCGGTCTTCAGTCCCTCATGGTGTAGGTAAGTTCAATTTAATGCTGAATTCTTACACAAAGTGCCAGTGGTAGCACCAAAGGTAGACTTTGCTTGTCCTGTGTAAATTTGTATATGTAATATCCAATACAGTATATGTAATATTTAGTTCATACAATATCCAATACATGTAATATCCAGTACATGCAATATTTAGTTCATGTAATGTCCAACACATGTAATATTTACTTCAGGTAATATCCAGTATATATATGTTTTCTTAACAGAGAAGGGTGTACCCACGCTGGTTAATGGTACAGCTGCTGAAGAGACTACAGTTGATGTAACAGAAAGCACAACTCATGCTGTGAATGGGGAAGACCAATCACTTGGAGAAGATACGAGATCTCCCACGAGTGACTCTGGCATACCAGCACGTCCTGATGTGTATCACCTTGGAGAAGGCTATTCAAAGAAAAGCCCAACTGTACAGAGAATATTGGACCTCTTAAATGAAATGGAAGCAACCAGTCAGGTTGAGCACTGTGGTTTGCAGAAGTTCCATCCATGTCCTTTATGCTCTGGGAAACTTATAACTGTATGAAAAGAAGAATTATACAGTAATAACTTTTTTTAGTAGTGCAAGATGTTGGAAAGGAATAATTTTTTAAATTTAAAGTTCTAGATCAGTGCTTCACTTATAATTTTCCTTCTTCAAGACTACTAAAGTGTCCAACTTGTGTTATTTTAACACGCCGGTCATAAGTACCAACACTTATGCTTTGTCATAACCTCATTCAGTAATTTTCTATTGATGATTTAAACTGCATTTATCCAGCAGTGAACTATTTATTATAAGTTAGTGGTGTCAGTTGTGTAAAGATATTATATTTATTCAAATGCTACTTTTGTGTACTTATGTATGCATATATACCAGTATTAAGAGGTTTATGAATTCCCCTGTTTCCTAATATCATGTTTTTTTTTCCCCTATAATCTACCTTGTCCATAATTACTATCACATTTCCTTTGTCTGCAGACAAAGCAAAAGCAATAGTAATTATGGACAAGGTAGATTTTAGGGGAAACTAACATATTATTGGAAGACGGGGGACCTGATGTGTCCCTCGATGCATCTAGTAAAGGAAATCCTGAGAGCCAATCTTGCAGTCAGGCTGTTGTTACTTGCACACACAACAGCTGTGCCACAAAATTAAAAACATTTCCAGATGCAGTACTGGGGAAAGATGTCATGAAGTGCCCCAGTTGTTGTCACTAGTTCTGTGATGTCACAGACTTCACAGTAATGCTTGTGTTTGCAATTGAAATTTCACAATTTTGTGGAACTAGCACACAGTGTTGGACACATGAGCTAGATGTTGACAGTATTAAAATCCCTGTGCAATACTGGAATTTTCTGTAAACCAAATCGGTTATGGTCTCAGTAGTAGTAACCAGTTACCAGTAACCAGTGTACCAACTTTATTCCGAAACGTTTCGCCTACACAGTAGGCTTCTTCAGTCGAATACAGAAAGTAGGCAGGAACAGTAGAGATGTGAAGACGATGTAATCAGTCCATCACCCTTAAAGTCGTAGAATTTGAGGTTGTCAGTCCCTCGGCCTGGAGAAGTTCAGTTCCATAGTCAGGAACTATGGAACTGAACTTCTCCAGGCCGAGGGACTGACAACCTCAAATTCTACGACTTTAAGGGTGATGGACTGATTACATCGTCTTCACATCTCTACTGTTCCTGCCTACTTTCTGTATTCGACTGAAGAAGCCTACTGTGTAGGCGAAACGTTTCGGAATAAAGTTGTCTAACTGTTGCATATGTGTCTTACCTAACAACCTGTCGGTATTGTATACCATTTTGATGTTCAACCAGTGTACCAGTAGATGACTCACTACCAACCGTCTCTGCCTGAGTCACTGTCTGTATTCATATTGTGCTGACCACAGCAGTATTCAAAGACCCCCCCACATGATAAATGGTGGCAGCGGTGGGATGCCCATTTATCATGTGGGGGGGTCTTTGAATACTGCTGTGGTCAGCACAATATGAATACAGACAGTGACTCAGGCAGAGACGGTTGGTAGTGAGTCATCTACTGGTACACTGGTTACTGGTAACTGGTTACTACTACTGAGAATGGCAACAGCTGGATCATTTCACAAATGTGCACTTATAAATCAGCAAGTGGAAATCTCTTGGCTGTCACCTCTTAGTCGAGTACACACCTGGCAAATCGTGAGATTGACCCTCAGAAATCCCTTACTTTTGTGATATTGTAAAATCCCAGGTGCATAGACTGTGTATTCATTGCATATTTCCCAAGTGATACTCCCAGTGCTTGTGTGATGTCAGACTTTCTTTAAGAAGTGATTATTACTATGTTACTGGGGAAATGATAAACCCATAAAAGTCATACAGTGCCTGGAAGGTAATCAAGTTTGATCCAATAAGGGAGGGGGGGGGGATAGTTCAGTTTCCTTGGATCAAGAGACCTTTGATATTAAGGCATTTTCTTGAAGGATGTACAAAAATGAGAGTGTGGTAGTAATATAAGCTCTTAACAAGTCATTTCATTTCTAAGGTTAGTGTTTTAGAAACATCTTGACATTAATGACCTATATGGCTAAGTCTTGATAGCACCTTTCAAGATCCCATCTTCACATTTTTTCTCTTATAATGCAACATTCTGAAATTTTAGTTATATATATTAATGATTAATCTGTCTGTTAATGTGAATGTAGAAAAATAAAACACTCTGACTGCGGGTTCAATCCCGGCCGGGGTATGGTTTGTCAGAAAAATAAAAATTGTGGAATGGGTGAGGCTTGAACCTGTGGCAGGTGAGTGCTAAAATGCACAGGCTAGTGTGCACTGTGCAGTGTGCACTGCAGTGTGCACTGTGCACTTGCCATGAGTTCAAGCTCCACCCATTCCGTGATTTGTTTGCAATTAAGTTATGATTTTTAAGAGTCGTGAATGAAAAAGATCTTGATGTGAAGCATTTGCCTTTTTGGGTGCACACGCAATATGCAAAATCATATCCCTTGCAGTCAGCTGGTTCGTAAAGTTCAGATTCACTAATTTAGTGGTGATTTTTTTACTCCACAATCTCTAATCATGGGATAATGACCACTACTGTGTATTGTAATTTGTCTGCCTGTATCATGTGATAATCATGTTTAGACATGAATACTGTAGTTTGTAAACTGTCTTGGGATTAGGTAAGCTAAATTAATTGAAAACAAGTAGAGATAAAAGTTAAAAGCAAATCTATCTAATGTGTTTTTTTCTGTATTTTTAAACAGTGAATAATTCTCTGTGAAATTTGAGACTTATTTAGCCCGAAAATAACAAATTAATGCCATTACGGGTGAAGCAATGGCTGCTCCAAGAGCATTATTACAAGGGAATGTTATATTCAGTGGGAAGCTTCAGCAGTAAAACTGCAAGACACATTGTAAGCTTTGTATATATTGTGAGGATCCCTTCACCAGTGTCAGGTTCTCCACTTCTTGAAGGTGAATATAACATGTTGAAAACGTATAAAATACCGACAAGTTGATGATTAAGACACACATACAACAGTTGGGTATCTTTATTGTTGAAGCGTTTCACCGACACAGTAGGCTTCTTCGGTCAAATACAAAATCAGCAGGTTTAATAGCGAAGTAAAGATGATATCAGTCCATCAACCTTGGAGAAATAGTATTTGAGGTGATCAGTGCTGAGGTCAGTCCTGACTACCTCGGATACTGTTTTTTCCAAGGTTGATGTACTGATCACATCATCTTTTCTTCGCTACTACAACTGCCGCCTCTATATCTGACTGAAGAACCCTATTGTGTAGGCAAACCCTTTCCAACAATAAAGATACCCAACTGTTGCACATGTCTTAATTATTGTGAATACGGTATACAGTTTAGGCAGCAATAACAAGTATGTGTACTCTGTGCAACTACAGGGGTCAGGCAAAACGTCACTTTGGTCCTTTTTTTTTTTCTACATTTTGTAGCTGTATAGCCCTTGTGGCTTAGTGCTTCTTTTTGATTAGAATAATAATAATCTACATTTTGTAATCAGCATGCACAAGATTATTAATCTACTTACATTAGTCTTCCAAACATGAATGGTTGAAAAATGGTCTGGTGATACCTATAAGATGTGAAAAAAGTAACTTTTCTATAATTCAGGACATTTATTAGAGGAAACATTTCCTCTAATAAATGTGAGCAGGGTAATATTTAGTAAAGGGATTCAGGGAAACCGGTTATTTTCATATAGTCGGACTTGAGTCCTGGAAATGGGAAGTACAATGCCTGCACTTTAAAGGAGGGGTTTGGGATATTGGCAGTTTGGAGGGATATGTTGTGTATCTTTATACGTATATGCTTCTAAACTGTTGTATTCTGAGCACCTCTGCAAAAACAGTGATAATGTGTGAGTGTGGTGAAAGTGTTGAATGATGATGAAAGGATTTTCTTTTTGGGGATTTTCTTTCTTTTTTGGGTCACCCTGCCTCGGTGGGAGACGGCCGACTTGTTGAAAAAAAAAAAAATGTCTGGAATTATACATAAGTATCTTTATCACCCTGCCTCGGTGGGAGACGACCGACTTGTTGAAAAAAAAAAAAAAAAAAAATCTTTATCCACATGAATGGTTGAATACAGTGGCAGATCTCCAACTGTATTGTGTGTAAGTTTCATTATCATATACAGTCTGAAACATATTATTTTGTTCATAAATACACCTACCATCCAACTTACGACCTGCTCGTCATATGACCATTCGACTTACGACCTTGTTTTGTATGCCAAATTTCTGGGAAATAGCAACTGTTTGCGTTGTACACAGTGTTTATGCTAAACCTTACAGTATAAAATACAGTACTAACAACATAAAAAGTAAAGTAAAACATGAAATATCAAAATAAATCAATAAAATAAAGTCATTACAAAAATGTGATGTTGATATTCAGTAGTAAGGTTCGACTTACGTCCATTTTGACTTACGACTGGTTGGTTGGAACCGAATTCGCTCGTAAGTTGGATGGTACCTGTAGATCCTACTGGCTTAGACTCACTTTATCTTGGTTGCTGTTTTAGAGATTTTTTTTTTTTTTTTTTTTTTTTTTTTCCTCAACAAGTCGGCCGTCTCCCACCGAGGCAGGGTGACCCAAAAAAAAGAAAGAAAATCCCCAAAAAGAAAATACTTTCATCATCATTCAACACTTTCACCACACTCACACATTATCACTGCTTTTGCAGAGGTGCTCAGAACACAACAGTTTAGAAGCATACACATATAAAGATACACAACATATCCCTCCAAACTGCCAATATCCCAAACCCCTCCTTTAAAATGACATTTTTGCAGTGAGAAGCTTCTACCAATAGTTGTAAGAATCACTATTGAGGTAGATTGTACTTTTACAAAACTGTAACATCGAATAATTACAAAAATGTAGTAAATGCGTGTGAGTCAGTATGAGAAAGTACGGTAGTTTCACTTAGAATTCTCTCGTATGTATCTTGTAATCTTTTATAAAATGTTTTGTAAAGTATATTACATTAACTTTGTCTGGTTATTGAATGTGACTGGGACAGCATTACCATAGCATCATTAAGTACATATTTTGCATTTTAATATTGTAACCGGGGAAATTGCCAATAGACCCCTGGCTGCCTTCAAGAGGGAGCTGGATAGCCACCTAGTTAGCACCTGACCAGCCGGGCTGTGGTTCCTATGTTAGACTACATGCGGCCAGCAGTAACAGCCCGGTCAAGGACTGGGCCACGGGGGCATTGAGCCCCGGAACACCCTCCAGGTAGTTGCCAATTGACATGCATAGGATGAGTTGCAAAATTCAGTGAGGAAATATAGGAGTGTAAGCTGTCCAAATGTAGATCTACGTTCGCTTGCGTAGCGCTCCGAACGTAGATCTACTTTTTTTTTTTTACATGCTTTCAAATGGAGAAAATCAAGGTTGGAGCGCTACGCACATAAACGTAGATCTATGTTTGGACAGTTTAAGGATTAAATGCTTTACCCATTAAAGGGAGTTCCTTGATGTTGAAGGGCTCTTGATCCATGGAATTGGTAATATTTTAAGTATTGAACCACATGAAACTGATTACCTCTCATTCCCCAGGTGCTGTATGATCCCTATGGTATAAGTTTTTCTCAAATATCATAACAATAAGGCTTATGTACCTTCACAAGATATACAGCATGGGTGATGAGTTCCCCAGAAGCAACAGGTAGGTATTTAACGCTTAGTAATTATAATAATAACAGGTAGGTATATACACCAAAGACAGTTTTTTTGTAGTTGTATATGGAATGTTTAATATCAAAATTTTATGGAGATTGCATTGTAACTTCAAAATTTACAGTTTTACATGTTGAAGTCTCTCTTTATGAAGTATTAAACTACATGCAATATTATTGGCATATCTTACTGCATTAACTATACTGTACATTGCTCGCACACGTTTGACGTTTCTTCTTAATGTAACAATTATACCAGTAAACCCTCGATTTAACAGTAATAGAGATGAGCAGGTGGCTGGTCATGGTGATTATTGGGGATAATTAGATTATTTTGCCGTGATTGTAGAAATGGACAACTGATTAGGAAATAGGAGACTTTGTCTGTTGTTAGCTAATCAGTCAACCCAGTGGATTTTGAAGATTGAGACACTTATGCAGCATATGGGAATCTTTATTCAGGAAACATTTCGCCACACAGTGGCTTCATCAGTCCAATACAAAGAGGAAGGTGTAAGGAGAGGAGGAGAATGAGGTAATCAGTCCCTCAACCTGGAGTCGATGTGTTCATTCTCCTCCTCTCCTTACACCTTCCTCTTTGTATTGGACTGATGAAGCCACTGTGTGGCGAAACGTTTCCTGAATAAAGATTCCCATATGCTGCATAAGTGTCTCAATCTTCAACTTGTTGGTTTTTCAAACCATTCATCACACCAGTGGATTTTGTCTCGTATTTCCAAAGTCCAGGAAATTGAGAGTTTACTGTGCATCATCTGCAAATTTTGCATTTGTAAATTTTAGGTGCATTAAGTGTGGCCATTTTGTGTATTAATAAATCAAAAATAGCAAAGGCCTGAGTTATTTAGTCAGAATATCTTTCATCTTTTTAAACATGGAACACTAGATAAACCACATTTCCCTCAAGGGAGGTTCCTTGATCCCAGGAATTAGACCTAACCTTCCCTTCCTTGGATCAAACCTGATTACTTCCCAGTGCCTCGGGCACTTGTTTAAACCCTATGGGTTTAGCACCTAAGATACAAAATATTATTCATGGCAGATCAATACTGTATTTTAAAAGGATTCCATCTCATGCTGAGAGTAATCTTTGAATATATTTTGTTTCTTCAAATTTTAATTATAACTTTCAAAAACACACAGCAAACCAGCACAAAATAGGAATTTATTACATGATATTTAAGGAACTAATGAGTACTGTAAATGACAATACAGTGGAGCCCCGGTTAACGATATTTTTTCATTCCAGAAGTATGTTCAGGTGCCAGTACTGACCGAATTTGTTCCCATAAGGAATATTGTGAAGTAGATTAGTCCATTTCAGACCCCCAAACATACACGTACAAACGCACTTACATAAATACACTTACATAATTGGTCGCATTCGGAGGTGATCGTTATGCGGGGGTCCACTGTACTATAAGTATGTATTTCCCCAAGTAAATAAGATTAGTGTGATCCAGGGCTTAGCTCAATCTTACGAGAAATATCCAACTATTTAGGTAACTTATGATAATTTAAATGTTTTAATAGGCTTGAATATTTTTTTAAAAATCCAAGATTTGGTTCTCAGATTATACATACACAAATTCTGTGCCTTGGTTATATTATTGTGGCCAGTTATTTTAAAAATGTTAAGCTTGTATGGGTCCAAGTGCCGCAGTTCACTTATTGAAGCAAAGTGACTTAAGATTTTATAAGAAAAATAATTTTAGAAAACCAAATCTTGAATTCATAAGCATTTAATAATGCTGACAGATTCCAAAAATGGTGCTTCCATTTTATGAAGTTACTGTTTTAATGGTAGATGGGTGCCTAAGATTTTTTTATTTGTTAACCATACAAATTCTGAATATTTTTATTAAAAGAGCAAAAAAAAAGTTTTTCTCTACCCTACACAGGAAATAGAGTTAAGGATAAATGACTACACTGCCCATGGCCATAACAAATATCTACAGTAGTCCCCCCTGTATCTGCAGGGATACACTCCAAGACCTACCAAGGATGGTAATGAAACCTATGTACGTATATGTTGTTTTTTGTTTACATACATACCAATGATAGTTTAACTGATAAGTTATGTTGATGGGAAGCACTTCATAGCTTCTCTTAGACTTTGAAGAACTGCCAGCATCACTATTTTTGTGCTTTGGGGCCATTTTTAGCAAAATTAAGAGTTATTTTCAGGCCATGGTAAACCATGGATAACTGAAACTATGGAATCCACAGATACAGGGGTTCTACTGTATACATGTATTGGTTATTTTCTTATAGCTCAGAATACACACATACAAGTATCCCTGATTATACGGTGGATATATTCCGGAATCATGGCAGCTGTATTATTCTCAATCAGACCATCAATATTTAATTCTGCATAATAAGAATCTAATATATTTTGTAAATGTCACAGATCAAGACATGGTGAATGTATATTGCATATATATAATTACTGACAGAACTGGGACATGACACAGCTATAAATTGTTATGTAAAAGAACACACGTACAAGTAACATGACATTTTATTGTGGCAACGTTTTGCTCTCCAAGCTTAACAAAGTTCCTGGAGAGTGAAACGTTGCCACAGTAAAATGTCACATAAGTTGCACTTGTGTCGTTTTACCCAACACATTGTCATAATTCTACCAACATTATTACAAATGTAAATTAACATACTGTACAGTGGACCCCCAGTTAACGATATTTTTTCACTCCAGAAGTATGTTCAGGTGCCAGTACTGACCGAATTTGTTCCCATAAGGAATATTGTGAAGTAGATTAGTCCATTTTAGACCCCCAAACATACACGTACAAACGCACTTACATAAATACACTTACATAATTGGTCGCATTCGGAGGTGATCGTTATGCGGGGGTCCACTGTACTAGTGAGGGGAAAGCTGCATTGCAGCAGCTTATAATTAAAAAAAATCACTAATGTAAAACACAAGACTTTTTAATTTACAGAATATTACCTTTTTCTTTCATAGTGGTGTAAAAAGACTGAGAAAGTATATGTACAGCGGTACGTTGAGTTTCGAACAGCTCCCAACCGAACAATTATGTAAGTGTATTTTTGGGGGTCTGAAATAGACTAATCTAATTTACATTATTCCTTATGGGAACAAATTCGTTCGGTATCTGCACTCGAACAGCCTTCTGGAACAAATTAAGTTCGTTCTTGAGGTATCACTGTACCTGTTTTTCCCCATATACTGTTAGTCCCGCCATACAGGTTTTCAGTGTCTGTCAGGACCACATCGCCTGAGCCAGGCAGTAAATGAGATGCAACATTATTTTTCTCAGTTATATTATTTTCTTGGGTTTCATATCAAAATTTTAATTGAGTCCATCTCACTTTTTAAAATAAAACTTAAGGTGCAATATATCTTGCTTTTTGAAAAATAATTTTTGGAGGTAATTCATTTCCTTCATTAAGCATGGATCTGCCTGTATTACATTACCTAAGTTTATTACACTGATGCCACATTCACTATCTTCATGATGCTCGGTGAATGGGAAGCTGGTCAGCATACATATACTTTTCAGGGCTGGAGATCTTCTTTAAAATGGTCCCACTGCTGAAAATATAAAGGATTAATTTATATTACTCTCATCATTTACTCCATTATGTCTTGCCAGTGGTACATGTACACTACACTGAAAGAGAAAAAGGGTTTAGGGTACAGTTACAATGGATGACATTTCTTCTTTCAATGCACCGGCCGTATCCCACCGAAGCAGGGTGGCCCAAAAAGAAAAATGAAAGTTTCTCTTTATAAATTTAGTAATCTATACAGGAGAAGGGGTTACTAGCCCCTCGCTACTGTCATTTTAGTCACCTCTTACGACACGCTTGACTTACAGAGGAAGAACTCTGCGCCACTTCCCCTTGGTTGACATCTTATACTCATTTCTTCCTACATTAAAAAGACTGACAAATTAGCTGAAGAAAAGTATTTTATATAGTCTGCTAGTATGAGGCAATACCATATCAATATAGAACGTTGAAGTAGAGAAAGTACCCAAAATGTCAAAATAAAACTTAAACATTGAACAGACCCTGATTAAATTGACTTCTTAACAGACAAAATCTGTGGTCAGACATTGGAAAATAATAAAGTATTTTAAATCTAGAATTGTTCATTATTATTAAGGAAAAACACTTCATTATTTTGTTCATTATTATTATCAAGGAAAAACACTTCATTATTTTGTTCATTATTATTATCAAGGAAAATCATTGTTCATTATTATTATTATTGTTGTTAATATCATGAAGAAACAATTTCCTCATTCTGATTTAACCCGTAAACAGTCCAGCGATATTAATCCGTTCCTGAGAGCTCATCGTTAATCAAAATAATCGTTAGTCAAGTTAATTTTCCCCATAAGAAATAATGGAAATCAAATTAATCCGTGCAAGACACCCCAAAGTATTGAAAAAAAAAATTTTACCACATGAAATATTAATTTTAATACACACAAACTGAAGAAGACATCCACAGTTACATGACACTTACGTTTATTGAAGATCTGGTGATGATTGATGGGATGGGAGGAGGGGAGACCTTTGATCTTGTTAGTGTTTAGAAGGGGAATCCCCTTCCATTAGCACTTGAGGTAGCAAGTCTTTTTCTGGGGTTACTTCTCTTGTTCTTTTAATGCCACTAGGACCAGCTTCAGTCACTGGACTTCTGTCGCACAACATATCTGTCCATAGATACCTGTACCTCTCGTTCCTTTATCCTAAAGTGTTTCACAACATTGTCAGTGTAATAGTCACCAGCACGGCTTGCAATAGCTGTGTGAGGGTGATTTTCATCAAAAAAAGGTTTGCATTTTAAGCCACATTGCACACATTTCCTTAATCTTTGAAGTAGGCAACTTCTTCAATTTCTCTCTCCCCTCCTCTGAAGCAGTTTCCTCAGGTGTGGTCTCTTACTGTTGAAGATGATCTAGCAGCTTATCAGTGGTTTGTTCTTCATTGTCCTCCTCCACCAACTCTTCCACATCCTCCCCACTAACCTCACCAACATGAGCACTAGTTCCAGGCATTTTTTCCTGTTCACCTGGGTGTTAGTCAACTGTTGTGGGTCGCATCCTGGGGGACAAGATTAAGGACCCCCAATGGAAATAAGTTAGACAGTCCTCGATGATGCACTGACTTTCTTGGGTTATCCTGGGTGGCTAACCCTCCGGGGTTAATCATTTCTCAGTAATTGTTTCACGTTAAGCCACACCAACAACACTCTCTCCACATCTTCGAGTAATACAGCTGATGGTGGTGCAGCAACAACAACAGCTGACTGTGGTGCAGCAGCAGCTGCACCTTTGGCAAGAACAGCTTCCTTGATTGCCGTTTTCTTACCCACAATAGTAGCGATGGTTGATTGGGGTTTATTATACAACCTGACCAACTCAGAGACACGCACTCCACTTTCATACTTAGCAATGATCTCTTTCGTCATCTCCATAGTAATTCTCACCCTTTTTGCTGTAGGGTTGGCACAAGAAGCTTTCTTGGGGCCCATGGTGACTTATTTTGCAGGTGCAATCACTACAAAGGCTGTGATAATATGAAATGTTCCAGTTGTTGTATGTTTGGAAGCGACCGCGGTGGCTGGCTGCCTTGTAAACACTGGCACCCAAGGGACAAGCGAGGCGCGCTCAGGCCAAAGTGGACGCGTATGGTACGGAACGAATAGCGCTGGTCGGGTTTTTAACCCTTTGACTGTCGCGGCCGTATATATACGTCTTACGAGGTACCGTGTTTGACGTATATATACTCATAAATTCTAGCGGCTTCAAATCAAGCAGGAGAAAGCTGGTAGGCCCACATGTGAGAGAATGGGTCTGTGTGGTCAGTGTGCACCATATAAAAAAATCCTGGAGCACGCAGTGCATAATGAGAAAAAAAACTCCGACCGTTTTTTTTAATTAAAATGCCGACTTTGTGGTCTATTTTCGTATAGTATTTATGGTTGTATTCTCGTTTTCTTGGTCTCATTTGATAGAATGGAAAACATATTATAGAAATCGAGGTGATTTTGATTGATTTTACTATAAAAAGAACCTAGACATGGAGCTCAAAGTAGGGGAAATGTTTGATTTTTGCCAATGTTCAAAAGTAAACAAATGATGCCATTGTCCAATAAATGTCCAACTAGCCATTCTAATATGCAGTCATGAATGGGTTGATGTTATTTATACAATTATTACAGTATTGCAGTAGTCTGCATAACAGTAAATCTTGTACTTTTTGTTTGAATAAAAATTCAAAATAGAAAGCAAGAGTAATATCAGAGGGGCCTGGAGACATGACTGATGAACAAAGAAAATGTTATTTTAGAGCCAGGAATGTCTGCATTGTTCATTCTGGACCTTATTTTGAAATTGTCTTATTTTTTAGTTTTCGTGAAATTGGCCAAATTGCAAATTTCTGACCACATTATTAGGTAGTTGAAATCGGTAAATGGGCAGTTTCTTGTGCTCAATCGATAGAACAAATGGAGTTCTACAGAAATAGCTATGAGTTTGGGTGACTGGAATAATGGAATTAGCCTAAAATAGGGCTCAAAGTGGGTGAAATCGCCAATTTGTAAACAGCACAGAGGTCGCTAACTTCGCGAGAGCATAATTCCATCAGTTTTCCATCAAATTTCGTTTTTTTGGTGTCATTACAATCGGGAAAAGATTCTCTATCATTTCATAAGATAAAATAATTTGTTTTTTTTTTTTTTTAAATTTTGCGACACCAGGAGACACCTCAGGATTGGGGGTTGCAACAGTCAAAGGGTTAAGCGCTAGTTGAGGTAAAATTTTTGCGTTAAAATGTATCGCTAGTCAGATTTATCGTTAATCGATGCCATCGCTGGTTAAGGGTCCACTGTATACGTTTTTTCAACATTTGAAAGTATGTAAAAAAAGTAGATCTTCTTTTTTTTTTTTTTTACATTTGAAAATATGAAAAAAAAAATGTAGATCTGCTTGGACCGTTTACAGGTTAAAAGACAAATGGCATTAACATACACCCCATTACCCCCACTTCCTTTAAATCAAGGTTTCACTGTACACCTTTCCCAGATATCTACATGGTTGTAAAGGCTATAAAATGTAATCGTCATTTTGCATTATGCAAACACTTTACAATCTTACCTTGAATTATTTAATCCAACTTTACCCCGCCCACCACACTTGGGAAGATCAAGGATGTGGTCTGTAAGTTCTACGTTTCGGACAGAGCCAAAGAACTCGGTGACCAAGACGTTATTAGGGTCTCGCTTGTAGAGATCCTGTCGGACACCCACAGTAGATATACAAACACGCTTAGGACACACCTGAAGCTAAAGAAAAAAATATTGTTTATTATTACTTATTATTATTTAAAATTATTCAAAGAACATGATAATTAAAATTAAATATCCTCATCACTTCCTCATCCCAAAAAAAGTTGAAGAAATATTGTAGGGGGGAAAAAAAAAAAAAAGACGCATTTATTCAGAATAACTCCACGGGGGAATTCTTCCTTTGTAAGTCGTGCGTGTTGTAAGAGGTGACTAAAATGCCAGGAACAAGGGGCTAGTAACCCTTCTTTTGTGTATATTACTAAATTTAAAAGGAGAACCTTTTGTTTTTCCTTTTGGGCCACCCTGTCTTGGTGGGATACAGCTGGTTTGTTGAAAGAAGGTTAGGTTAGGTAAGGTTCATCAGGAAACAGGACAAGCGTTTCCTGACGCGGGTCTTAGTCAGATGATGACCCGCCGTTGGAGCTTTTGGTCATCTGACGAAGGCCTTCCACTGGCTTACCGGTCCACCCCTTTAAAAATTATGGTCAGTTATAACCATTTAGTTTTGATATGTTGAAAGAAGAAGATGACGATTCCTAATCTTTTACATCACTTTCCACACTAAGGAACATCACAAAATTAACACTGCCACGTGTGTTAGATGTTTTACACAACAAAATACTCCATTGAAAGTGTTAAACTATTAATCATTCCTTCCTTCCTTCTGTGAATTCCTAGTCACTTGTACTTGTCATAGTGTGACCCCTTGTGGGTTTAGCACTTAGTTGTGATTATAATAGTAATATACCATAAGCCATGCATGTTGTAAGAGGTGACTAAAATGCCGGGAGCAAGGGGCTAGTAACCCCTTCTCATGTATAAATTAGTAAATTTAAAAAGAGAAACTTTTGTTTTTCTTTTTGGGCCACCCTGCCTCGGTGGGATACGGCCGGTTTGTCGAAAGAAAAGAAAGATACCTTTCATGTGTAATGTACTTTTCATATGTAATGTACTTCTCATATGCGTAACACATTTTCTCACACATTATTTGCATACCATCTCAGTTTTGACTTCTTGCCCAGAAGCTTTTATTATATACTTTCTGCGATGTATCATTCCACATTCTGACAGTCAGGGGGAAAAATTTTCCTACTAATTAAGCCAAAACTACCACACTGACAGTACTGTGTAACACACTAAAAAATTAAGAACAAAGCTTTAACTGGCTTATAACTGATGGACCTCGGGTATTTTAAATGGTAAAAATAATAATAATACATACAAATTGTGCAAGAGTCCTGTCACTATTGGGTGTGACCCTCTCCAGAAACTCCAGAGCATAGTAGGTGAAGCGATCAATTATATAAACTCCAATTGCTGGATCCACGTGATGCTGAAAAAAACAATGGAATCAATCACATTTAAAGGATCAAGAGAAGTGTCCTTCACCAACTCTGAATTAAAAATTAAAACTTTTATTACAAGTCCAATGCTCCCAAGCATTGCTTCATAATTCATAAGAACATAAAAAAGAAGGAACACTGCAGCAGGCCTACTGGCCCATTCTTGGCAGATCCTTATCAAACCCAAACCCACTAAAAAATATTTGCTCAACTCATTATCAATGTTACCCAAGGAATAAGCTTTGATTATCCTATTAACTCAAGTGCACATCCCAGAGCAATTCAGTGGATTATAAACTATTACATTATATATTTGGATAATAATGGAAGAATTAACCGACAGAATGTTAAGTAAATGGACACATGCAACTAATGTGACATTTTATTGTGGAAACATTAGTGCATCTGTGTCCATTTACCCAATATTATTTATTTTATGTATAGGACATCTTAAGGTAAGGTGGGGCATGAAAGAATATCCAGCAGGCAAATGTTAGAGTAGAGTGCAGGATGAAGCAGGAACTTGAACATCTAGCAGGTAAATATTAGATCAGAATGAGTTCAGACTGAGAGGTAGGAACATGGTTGCCCAACAGGTGTGAGTGAGTGTGTTGAGAATATGATGTGCTGTTAAAACTGTGAGCAAGATAACATTAAAAAAAAAAAAAGAATTTAGGAAAACCGGTTAGCCAGACTAGAGTTCTGAAGGTTGCATTTCATTCCATTGGTAAAGTACTTGTAAAAGCCTAAATGTTATCATAATCTAATAATTAAAAACTAACCCACACTCTGCCTTGATAGGAAACGATCAATTAAAAAAATGAATATCTGGTTTAGAATGAACAGAAGACTAACCTAAACCAATTTACAAATATCCTGCAGTTAGGAAAGGAAAAAAAAAAACATACCACGGGCGGGGATAGAACCCGCAGGTTCTATCCCTGCCCGTGGTATGTTTTGTTTGCAATTGTGTCATTACGATTTCGTGTCATGTTAGGAAAAGAAGTTTGTGAAAATATTTTAGTTCATCCTGAATTACTCTCATGTTACAATTAAAAGAGAAAGAGAAGAGAAGACTAGAAGAAAGGTTGGAATAAGGGAGGAGGAAGAAGAGAGGGTGGTGGTGGTAGTAGTAGTAGTAACAGAAGAACCAGCAGTAGCAGTAATAACAGTAGTTTCAGTTTTAGTAACAGTGATAATAGTAGTGGTAGATTTAATAGTAGAGAAGATAATAGTGAATTATTCCAGCTATGATATTGTAACTTTTATTTGTCTACAGCTTTACTGACAGCTTATGATAGACAATATTATTATACAGTGTCTGAGGAAAGCAATGTTTGATCCAAGGAAGGAGAGGGGTAGCTCTAACTTCTGTTATCAAGAGTTCTTGACCAGCATCAAGCAGATACATGAAAGGGATAAACAACACGAACTTACAGAAAGTGAGTCTTCTCCAACTAAACTAGAAGCGATGGCCAGGATGTTAGGAGAGTAGAAATGCTCGTACATAGACGCTGCTTGACACGTGTCGATGATAAAGAGGATCTCGTTATACCTGTAATATTAAGTGTATTGTCAATCTCCAGTGCAAATTGTGGGGACCCAAAGCCTTGGAGTACATAAAAAGGCTTCGAGGAAAGATAGTTGTATTTCTCCCTGAAGCCATTTGAATATTTCACTTCCCCTATCATCCCATGATGGTGAATGATGGTGAAAGTGCTTCTTTTTTTGGGTCACCCTACTCAGTGGGAGATGACCATTATGTTAAATATATATACATGTATATATATATATACACATATCATTAAGAGATTTCAGCTTGAAGATGAAACACTGTACTAAATAAAACACCTTTCTTAGTTATTGGTGTCTTTTTCCATTACATGGATACTGTGTACCAAGTTTAATTCTATATGGATATCTATATCTAATCCTACTACTGCTCTGCGCTGATTATCCAAAACTGTCTTCTTCAGTATTTAGTATAAAGCTATTTCATACAGAGAACCTCAACCCGTAAATGGTCCAAATGTATATACAGTGGACCCCCGCATAACGATCAGCTCCCAACTCGACCAATTATGTAAGTGTATTTTTGTAAGTGCTTTTGTAGGTGTATTTTTGGGGGTCTGAAACGGATTAATCTAATTCACAATATCTCTTATGGGAACAAATTCGGTCTATAACGGCACCCAAACAGACTTCTGGATTGAAATAATATCGTTATCCGGGGGTCCACTGTATATGTTTTTTCAACATTTCAAAGTATGTAAAAAAAGTAGATCTTCTTTTTGTTTTTTTACATTTGAAAATGTGTAAAAAACTTAGATCTACATTTTTTTTTGTTACATTTGAAAATATGTAAAAAAAATGTAATCTACTTTTGTAGCACTACACATGTGAACGTAGATCTGCTTGGACCGTTTACGGGTTAACAGATAAAAAAGGAATGTGGAAAAAAACTGGGGATCACAAAAAAAAAAAGGTTACAATTTTAATTTTAAAAAATCCAGCACAATCTTCCCCCATAATCAGAGATCTACTGCATCAACACAAATCACATACCTCTTTTTCTGCCACATTTGTTCAAATGCATCAGCAAGCTCAACATTGGTGATTTCTTCTGAATCTTGAAACTTGAGGAAGCCGTCTCCACCATGGCCCGTCATGTATATCAGTATATTGGAGCCGTCGTCAGTTAATAATCGCTTAGATCTAGGAGTGCTTGGAGTCAGCCGACCAGTTAGTAATCTTACAAAGTTCTCTACAGTAACCTGAAAAATTCAAGAAGTATAGTCCTTCTCACTGCTGTGAAATTAAATAAATAAGGTTGGAGGGAGGGGGTAAAGGAGGTTTTGTGTGCGAGGGGCTTGGACTTCCAGCAGGCATGTGTGAGCGTGTTTGATAGGAGTGAATGGAGACAAGTGGCTTTTAATACTTGATGTGCTGTTGGAGTGTGAGCAAAGTAACCGGCAGGCCGGACTTGAGTCCTGGAGATGGGAAGTACAGTGCCTGCACTCTGAAGGAGGGGTGTTAATGTTGCAGTTTAAAAACTGTAGTGTAAAGCACCCTTCTGGCAAGACAGTGATGGAGTGAATGATGGTGAAAGTTTTTCTTTTTTCGGGCCACCCTGCCTTGGTGGGAATCGGCCAGTGTGATAATAAATTAATAATAAAATAAACAAATTTGATTTCTTTGCAAAGGTTACAATGTGTGATTTACATTTTAAAGTGTTGTTAAGTACAAAGAATGCCATTAACATGCCGGGACATTTTGGACAGACTAAACCTAATGCTTACACACTACTTAAAACTAGACATAGTTTATAGTGTGGTAACTTCTAGAATACTTTTGCAAATATAAACGTTTTAGTGCATATTAATAAATTTATTACAGTAAAGGAATATAATACAGTGGACCCCCGCATAACGATGTTATTTCAATCCAGAAGTTTGTTTGGGTGCCGTTATAGACCGAACTTGTTCCCATAAGAAATATTGTGAATTAGATTAGTCCGTTTCAGACCCCCAAAAATACACCTACAAAAGCACTTACAAAAATACACTTACATAATTGGTCGAGTTGGGAGCTGATCGTTATGCGGGGTCCACTGTACAATTATCATTTCTCTTGCATTTTCAACAATAAAAATACACAATTCTTGTGCATTTTCTAAAAATTTTATCAGAATTGCACTACCTGTTCTCTGACCCATAAGGTTCGGAGAACAGGTAATCAGGTCTGATCTGAAAAATGGGATGTTAGCCCAAATTCCCTGAATCAAAAGCCCTTTACCAGCATGAGGGTACCCTCCCTTTAATGACAAGACCTTTTATAATATATTAATAATGTGATAAAACATTGAAAACGTAAGAGAAAGAATCAGCAATAAATGTAAATCGATAAATTTTGGCAGGTAACAAAAATAAACAGAGAAATACCATAAAGAATTTCAACCAATCATAAAGCTTAATAATACAGTGGAACCTCAAATATTGAACTTTCTTCGGTCCAGAAGGCTGTTCGAGTGCCACTACCGAACGAATTTATTCCCATCAGGAATAATGTAAATTAGATTAGACCATTTAAGACCCTCAAAAATACACTTATAAAAGCACTTACAAAAATACACTTACATAATTGGTTGAGTTGGGAGCAGTTCGATTTTTGAGGTTCCACTGTACATGCATTGAAAGACAAGTTGATGGAAAAGTCTCGGGTATTAACCTTGATGGCAAACTTTAATTTAAGAGAAATATATCCAAGAATGCTTCCAAAACAGTGGGCATTCCTTCTCGAACATGATGCTATGTACTGTGCAACAGCCAACACTGCTTATTCTTTGCTATTCTTTCGTCTATCTTTACCTCATCTACAGTACATGTGGACGGGGATCTACAATAGCATATCTTCTATTAAAACAATCACTCAATCTGATTCTAGACTGACCGACTGTTTCACAATCTCAACATAAGGAACAAGAAACTCTCCAGCTTGGATGTGACCTCCTTCTTTATTGAGGCACCCACAAGCCAATGACCAACACTGAAAAATTTACGACTCCCCTGATTTTCCTATTCTTGCCAATGACATTGTAGACCTCAATGAACCATAAATCAATTTTAATTGTTTCTCCCTCAACTGTCCATCTTCTATCAGACCTTTAGTTTGCCGATGGTTCCACTCCAGGCAGTCTTAGCAAGCCTTTATATGGAACAACTTGAAGTTGAAAGTTCTTCTTCTCTCACTCATACTTAAACATTGAGATGTGTCATATCCTCTCCAAAACAAACTCAACTACATTCAACCTTCAATACAATTTTCCCTGTATAAATTACTAAATGTAAATAGAAGACAACTTTCGTTTCTTCTTTTTTGGGTCATCCTGCCTTGGCAGGAGACCGCCAATGTGTGAAAAACAATACTGTATATTAAAGGTAAACGTTAGGTGTGGGATGTGCATAGCATGTGCCAGTAGGTCAACTGCAGTGCTTCAAGTGCAATCGGGAGGACATTCTTGGGAAATCATTCAAAAATAGGATTCTCATTCAGTATTGTTTAATTCATGTTTAGAGCTAAACCCATATGGGTTATTCAACACAAGACACAGATAAATAAAGAGAAAGTAGATGGCATCTCTCAATAGGTAGTATCTAATAATAAATAATGATGACAATGATAAACCTTACCTCATATCCCCTATAATCTACTTCCACATCTTCTCCGTACACATTTATGTGTTGATGAGCATTGTTGAAAACAGTTGCAGGACGAGGGTTACGTGGATTACATGCCATATCATCAGCTACCATCAAGATGATCTGACTAACAGAACCAAATACCCATATTATTACTTGCTGGGAAGAGAGAAAAAAGCTTGTGATTTGGACCATTTACAAGTCACACTAACAGAAGAGAATGAGTGAGCTCTCACCAATACACTGGTTCATTCATTCTCTTCTGTCAGTGTGACTCGTAAATGGTTCAAGTCGGACAAAAACATCATCATAAGCTTTTCTTTCTATGTGCAGATTTTTGTTTATTTACTTATTCAATGACAGTACCGTATTTTGCGGCTTATATGACTCGTTTTAGTTTCAATGGCTTGGCACCAGATGTAACTGGGAGAGCTACTGCCCACCCCACACCCCAAACATAGCTCCTGCCACTGACCTTCAGTTTATAGGATGCAGGGTGGTTTTTGGAGACATTTTATGGAAAAAAAATGCATCTAGTAAGCTGCAAAATATGGTAATTATTTATTTACTTATTTAGTATATCATATTCGACTTAATATATTTTTGACTTACAACGGATTCATCGAAAAGTAACCCACCGTAAGTCAAGGAGCACCTGTATATCTCAAGGCAACAACTCAGAGATGTATTGTAGCAAAACATGAAAACAAACTATGAACTACTAAAAAAATATTCTGATTACCTATCAGGAATGCCAAGCCTTTTGACGGAGCGATACATAGAGAGCACATTAGCAACATGGCGATAGTTGAACCAGAAGCGAGAAGTGTCAACCAAGACTGCCCAGTTGTTAGTGTGCGTTTTCTTCTTCAAAAGTTGTGAAAAAGAGCCAACCTGGAAATAAATTGAATCACAACTATAAATAAAATTTCTAATACAGTATTATGAATACAGCCTCTCCTCACTTAGTGACGTACTCATTTACCGACGCCTTGAACTTACGAGGGGCTCTCTGACCAGTATTTATACCTATACAGTGGACCCCCGCTTAACGATCACCTCCAAATGCGACCAATTATGTAAGTGTATTTATGTAAGTGTGTTTGTACGTGTATGTTTGGGGGTCTGAAATGGACTAATCTACTTCACAATATTCGTTATGGGAAAAAATTCGGTCAGTACTGGCACCTGAACATACTACTGGAATGAAAAAAGTTCGTTAACCGGGGGTCCACTGTATAATGTACACTAGAGCTGATTTCCTCTATTCTGTTTATTACAATATACAGTAGACTACTGTATAAATGTTTAAAAATATACCAGAAATGTTATAAATGGTGCAAAGGTGACATTAAAACAATATCAAAGATGGTTGACACAAACCCACTACCATTACAGTATGCTCTTCGCTTAACAACAAATTCGTTTACCGACGGGGTCTTAGGAAGAGAATTTTGTCATTAAGTGAGGGGAGGCTGTATTATACACAATTCAGGAGGTCCCCAATGTGTTTGTACGTTGAGGACTTCCTATAATACATACATATACCAGGGCTTGGTATATACAGCACCTTTTCGGCATTCCACATTTTCACTGGCTTTCAGTCGAGTGAAAACATGGGGGAGCGCCAAACCCAGAGGATTATACAGTGCATGAGGGGGGATGATGGAACCCATACAGGCTCAATTCAGGGAACTGGAGCACAGATCCAATTCCCTAGATCAAGGAACCTCCCTTGAGGGGTCAGTCAGGTGGAACAATGGCTTAATTGAAAGCCAATGAAAGTGGGGAGCACCAAAAAGAGGTGTTGTATATATGGGGCCGTCCTGTACAGTAGTGAATTCTCTCTCATTTGGGTTAATTCATGTTTATGAGGTTTGTGGATTACAGATAATTAAAAATAAGAGAGAAGTGAAATAAAGATGATATGGATTGATTACATCACCTTTAGTTCACTATACATTTGCTGACAGATACACACAGCTACAGTTACATGAATAATCATACATAGCAACATAGTGGCCTGGTGGCTAAAGCTTCCGCTTCACACACGGAGGGCCCGGGTTCGATTCCCGGTGGGTGGAAACATTTCGACACGTTTCCTTACACCTGTTGTCCTGTTCACCTAGCAGCAAATAGGTACCTGGGTGTCAGTCGACTGGTGTGGGTCGCATCCTGGGGGACAAGATTAAGGACCCCAATGGAAATAAGTTAGACAGTCCTCGATGACGCACTGACTTTCTTGGGTTATCCTGGGTGGCTAACCCTCCGGGGTTAAAAATCCGAACGAAATCTTATCTTATCTTATCTTATATCTCAAAAAAGTCAAAGTGACAAATTTCAATTTAGGTCCTTGTAATATTTAATTATTTATAAAATAAAGGGAGATTTACTAAAAATTCCGGTATATCTGAAATACAATAGAAGGCACTGGGAACAGAAACGGCAAATATCGAACTTAAGCTTGAGCAATCATACAGGAGACGAGAAACTCGGAAAGAACTAAAAGCTATAAATGAAATTGAAAGAAACTCAAAATATTCCTCATGCCAAATCTAAGGCAAAACGTGCATCCAGCAGTAACAGCCTGGTTGATCAGGCCCTGATCCACCACGAGGCCTGGTCACAGACCAGGCCCGCGGGGCCGTGAGCAATATACCTCTCCAGGTATGTTGGACCTGTGCTTACACGAAATGGGACTTACACGGGTGACGGCAAGGGAATGAGTGAAATACTGTAGCGCCAGTATGACTCGGTGATCCCCGAAACACCCCCAGGTATACCCCAGGTAATACCCAACTGTCGCATGCGTATTGTGGGTATTTTATAACATTTTCAACACTGCCGAGTTAATCTTGTCGAGGTCGTAGAATTACATTCGTCTATGGTCGCTCCTGTCTGTCTCAACTATTGGACCACTACGACAAGGTCCTAAATGCACTAGAAGACAAAAAGAATGCAGATGTAATATATACAGACTTTGCAAAAGCCTTCGACAAGTGTGACCATGGCGTAATAGCGCACAAAATGCGTGCTAAAGGAATAACAGGAAAAGTCGGTCGATGGATCTATAATTTCCTCACTAACAGAACACAGAGAGTAGTCGTCAACAGAGTAAAGTCCGAGGCAGCTACGGTGAAAAGCTCTGTTCCACAAGGCACAGTACTCGCTCCCATCTTGTTCCTCATCCTTATATCCGACATAGACAAGGATGTCAGCCACAGCACCGTGTCTTCCTTTGCAGATGACACCCGAATCTGCATGACAGTGTCTTCCATTGCAGACACTGCAAAGCTCCAGGCAGACATCAACCAAATCTTTCAGTGGGCTGCAGAAAACAATATGAAGTTCAACGATGAGAAATTTCAATTACTCAGATATGGTAAACATGAGGAAATTAAATCTTCATCAGAGTACAAAACAAATTCTGGCCACAAAATAGAGCGAAACACCAACGTCAAAGACCTGGGAGTGATCATGTCGGAGGATCTCACCTTCAAGGACCATAACATTGTATCAATCGCATCTGCTAGAAAAATGACAGGATGGATAATGAGAACCTTCAAAACTAGGGAGGCCAAGCCCATGATGACACTCTTCAGGTCACTTGTTCTATCTAGGCTGGAATATTGCTGCACTCTAACAGCACCTTTCAAGGCAGGTGAAATTGCCGACCTAGAAAATGTACAGAGAACTTTCACGGCACGCATAACGGAGATAAAACACCTCAATTATTGGGAGCGCTTGAGGTTCCTAAACCTGTATTCCCTGGAACGCAGGAGGGAGAGATACATGATTATATACACCTGGAAAATCCTAGAGGGACTAGTACCGAACTTGCACACGAAAATCACTCACTACGAAAGCAAAAGACTTGGCAGACGATGCACCATCCCCCCAATGAAAAGCAGGGGTGTCACTAGCACGTTAAGAGACCATACAATAAGTGTCAGGGGCCCGAGACTGTTCAACTGCCTCCCAGCACACATAAGGGGGATTACCAACAGACCCCTGGCAGTCTTCAAGCTGGCACTGGACAAGCACCTAAAGTCAGTTCCTGATCAGCCGGGCTGTGGCTCGTACGTTGGTTTGCGTGCAGCCAGCAGCAACAGCCTGGTTGATCAGGCTCTGATCCACCAGGAGGCCTGGTCACAGACCGGGCCGCGGGGGCATTGACCCCCGGAACTCTCTCCAGGTAAACTCTCTCTCCAGGTATGGTATTATGGGGAGCGCTAAACCCGTGGGGATTATACAGCGCCTGTTGGGAGGGATGGAAGGTATTCAGGCTTAATTCAGAGGAACTGAAGCACAGATCCAATTCCCTGGATCAAGAGCCCCTCACCAGCATCAAGGAACCTCTTCAGCAGCTCGTCTAAGGTAGATGATGACGATTTTGATGATTAAAACACACGTGCAGCAGTTGGGCATCTTTATTGATGCAACGTTTCGCCTGCACAGTAGCCTTCTTCAGTCAAATACAGAGTCATATGGAGTAGTGGTGAAGTCAAGACGATGTATTTGAGGTAATCAGTCCCTCAGCTGAGGGAGCAATAAGACATTAAATACTTACATATATATATATATATATATATATATATATATATATATATATATATATATAATTATACATATATACATATATACATATATACATATATACATATATACATATATACATATATACATATATACATATATACATATATACATATATACATAATACATACATACATACATACATACATACATACATACATACATACATACATACATACATACATACATACACACACACACACACACACACACACACACACACACACACACACACACACACACACACACACACACACACACACACACACAACACACACACACACACACACACACACACACACACGTCGTCGTTCTTACGCTGGAATAAAAAAAACGGGAAGCGCTAAACCCGTATGGACTCACATTATTGGCGTAAATGGGAGCAACACACAAGACAACAACTAACACAAGAAGCTTCATTGTTGTTGTTGTTGGAATGTAAAGCACCGCACAGCTCAACCTCTCAGACACTACGACCCTAATGGAAATATGTCAAGGACCCTAATGGAAATATGTCAAGGACCCCAATGGAAATATGTCAAGGACCCCAATGGAAATATGTCAAGGACCCCAATGGAAATATGTCAAGGACCCCAATGGAAATATGTCAAGGACCCCAATGGAAATATGTCAAGGACCCCAATGGAAATATGTCAAGGACCCCAATGGAAATATGTCAAGGACCCCAATGGAAATATGTCAAGGATCCCAATGGAAATATGTCAAGGACCCCAATGGAAATATGTCAAGGACCCCAATGGAAATATGTCAAGGACCCCAATGGAAATATGTCAAGGACCCCAATGGAAATATGTCAAGGACCCCAATGGAAATATGTCAAGGACCCCAATGGAAATATGTCAAGGACCCTAATGGAAATATGTCAAGGACCCCAATGGAAATATGTCAAGGATCCCAATGGAAATATGTCAAGGACCCCAATGGAAATATGTCAAGGACCCCAATGGAAATATGTCAAGGACCCCAATGGAAATATGTCAAGGACCCCAATGGAAATATGTCAAGGACCCCAATGGAAATATGTCAAGGACCCCAATGGAAATATGTCAAGGACCCCAATGGAAATATGTCAAGGATCCCAATGGAAATATGTCAAGGACCCCAATGGAAATATGTCAAGGACCTCAATGGAAATATGTCAAGGACCCAATGGAAATATGTCAAGGATCCCAATGGAAATATGTCAAGGATCCCAATGGAAATATGTCAAGGATCCCAATGGAAATATGTCAAGGATCCCAATGGAAATATGTCAAGGATCCCAATGGAAATATGTCAAGGACCCCAATGGAAATATGTCAAAAACCCAATGGAAATAAGTCACAATGATTGTTTTGGTTTATTCTGGAGGGTAATTTACACTATGTACGATAATTGTATTATGTGTACTTGTGCTTAAATAAACTTACATCACGCACTACAAGCTACAGTTTTGTAGTGCCCACAGTGAGTCGTCAGGCTTCTAACACCTTTTATTATACAGCAGTATCAAAGCCTGTCATAGTATGATTCACTTCAAGAAGAGAGCTAAAATGTTCCTGATAAATGAAGCTACAGAAAGGGAAGAGAATGATTCTTGTATAGCTTACATTCATGCATCTATTAGTAAGTATCTTTATTCAGGAAACGTTTCTCTAACCAGTGTCTTTATTATGCAAATTCAAGGACGTAACGTGGAGACTGTAGAAACCTCTGAAGACCCAATGTCTAGCTCTTATACAGTGTCATATGGACTATGTTTGCTCTTCATGGTACTCTGCCTTGACAGAAAACTGAAAGAATGACTACAAATCACCCAGAACAAAATCGTAAGATTCATCCTGGACCTGGATCCAGGAGAGCATGTAGGCCAGGATGGTAAGATTCATCCTGGACCTGGATCCAGGAGAACATGTAGGCCAGGATGGTAAGATTCATCCTGGACCTGGATCCAGGAGAGCATGTAGGCCAGGATGGTAAGATTCATCCTAGACCTAGATCCAGGAGAACATGTAGGCCAGGATGGTAAGATTCATCCTGAACCTGGATCCAGGAGAGCATGTAGGCCAGGATGGTAAGATTCATCCTGGACCTGGATCCAGGAGAACATGTAGGCCAGGATGGTAAGATTCATCCTGGACCTGGATCCAGGAGAACATGTAGGCCAGGAAGGTAAGATTCATCCTGGACCTGGATCCAGGAGAACATGTAGGCCAGGATGGTAAGATTCATCCTGGACCTGGATCCAGGAGAGCATGTAGGGCAGGATGGTAAGATTCATCCTGGACCTGGATCCAGGAGAACATGTAGGCAAGGATGGTAAGATTCATCCTGGACCTGGATTCAAGAGAACATGTAGGCCAGGATGGTAAGATTCATCCTGGACCTGGATCCAAGTGAACATGTAGGCCAGGATGGTAAGATTCATCCTGGACCTGGATCCAAGAGAACATGTAGGCCAGGATGGTAAGATTCATCCTGGACCTGGATCCAAGAGAACATGTAGGCCAGGATGGTAAGATTCATCCTAGACCTGGATCCAGGAGAACATGTAGGCCAGGATGGTAAGATTCATCCTGGACCTGGATCCAGGAGAACATGTAGGCCAGGATGGTAAGATTCATCCTGGACCTGGATCCAGGAGAACATGTAGGCCAGGATGGTAAGATTCATCCTGGACCTGGATCCAGGAGACCATGTAGGCCAGGATGGTAAGATTCATCCTGGACCTGGATCCAGAAGAACATGTAGGCCAGGATGGTAAGATTCATCCTGGACCTGGATCCAGGAGAGCATGTAGGCCAGGATGGTAAGATTCATCCTAGACCTGGATCCAAGAGAACATGTAGGCCAGGATGGTAAGATTCATCCTGGACCTGGATCCAGGAGAGCATGTAGGCCAGGATGGTAAGATCCATCCTGGACCTGGATCCAGAAGAACATGAAGGCCAGGATGAATTACAACAATTGGATATGTTGAATGTTGAAGACAGAGTAAAACAGAAGTTAAATCAAGTTTATAAAATTGCTCACAAACAGTGTCCAGAATATCTTGCTGCCAGTTTTGTCAAGGTTGGGAACCAAAGCAATCATAGTACTAGGGGGAGAGAACAATCATAGTACTAGGGGGAGAGAACAATCATAGTACTAGGGGGAGAGAACAATCATAGTACTAGGGGAGAGAACAATCATAGTACTAGGGGGAGAGAACAATCATAGTACTAGGGGAGAGAACAATCATAGTACTAGGGGAGAGAACAATCATAGTACTAGGGGGAGAGAGCACAACTTTGTAGTAGCCACAGTCAGTGGCCAGGCTTCAAACACCTTTTATTGTACAGTAATAAAGGAATGAAACAGACTGCCCGCACATGTCAAAGCCAGTCACAGTTCAAGAAGAGTGCCAAAAGGTACCTAATGATTGTAGCGACAGAAAGGGAGGAGAATGATTTTTTATATTTGTAGTTAACACACATGTAAATATAAATAACTCATTCCTTTATAGTATAATAATGTTATAAAAGGACATCAATGTAAATCATGTTTATAAAATTGGCCACAAAGTGTCCATAATATCTTGCTGCTAATTTTGTCAAGACCGAGAACCAAAACAATCATAGTACTAGGGGGAGAGAACACAACTTTGGTATAATAATCTCCCCTCATGTAGAGTACTAGTGGTACAATAATCTCCCCTCATGTAGAGTACTAGTGGTACAATAATCTCCCCTCATGTAGAGTACTAGTGGTACAATAATCTCCCTCTGCGTGCTGCCAACAATAGCAGCCTGGTTGATCAGGTCCTGATCCACCGTGAGGCCTGGTCACAGACCGGGCCGCGGGGGCGTTGACCCCCGAAACTCTCTCTACGTATACTCTCATGTAGAGTACTAGTGGTACAATAATCTCCCTCTGCGTGCTGCCAACAATAGCAGCCTGGTTGATCAGGCCCTGGTCCACCGTGAGGCCTGGTCACAGACCGGGCCGCGGGGGCGTTGACCCCCGAAACCCTCTCTACGTATACTCTCATGTAGAGTACTAGTGGTACAATAGTAGTGGAGTTGAGCGCCTCTGGTGGTGAGAGTGACGACCTTGAGAGAGGTTCCTTGAAGGTGATGGTGAGGGTCTCTTGATCCAAGGAATGTGATCTATGTCATCTAGGAGTGAACTTATCCTCCCAGGTGGTCCATGACCCCCGTGGGTTGAGCGCTCCACCATGAGTAGTACTGATAGTGAGGGTGTAGTAGTGCCATCTAGTGGTGGTAGTCAGAGTTAGTCAAGTTATCAGTGATGGTGTTATAGTGAAGGTCAGGACAGTGACCAACCTCAAGGTCACTAAAGGTCACTTGAACTTCAGTGGTCGTTCAGAAGAGACGTGTTGCTCCTCCTCTTGTCGCCCCGCCGGCTTTACCGCTTCCTCAGCCTGTTAATACACCTAAATAACGTAAGTATTGTTTGGTGACTTATTTATCAGTACAGCAGCAGAGTTGAGCTGCAACTCCTGGTCCCCTCCACCAGTTTGGTCACCAAATTATTAATAAGAATCTTAATTTTCTTTGGGGTCTAATGTCTTAAATGGGGTGTTTGATGCGAGGAACTGGAGCTACTCCTCTTCCTCGGATCAAACAATAATTGTGTATGTAGTTCTGGGCTATTTTTTCCATTATTGAAAAATTACTTAGTGAAGGTCTCTTGATCCAAGGAACTTGCGCCTTGTGATCCAGATAACTTCGTTAATAAATTGTTAGTTATCAAGTTTATTTGAAAGATATTAAAGCAAAAGTTAACTTTAATATGTTAAATATTAATGTGTATATGAGTCAGGCTGTAATGTTACTAGTTTATATTATATGGTAATGTTTATATAATGTTTATAATGTGTATGTTGCAGGTGTGATAAGTGAGGATTGTTGTGCCAGGCTGTGTCTGCTGCAACATTGATCATCACAGCCGCATTGATCAACACGGCAACATTGATCATCACAGCCGCATTGATCAACACTGCAACATTGATCATCACAGCCGCATTGATCAACACTGCAACATTGATCAACACGGCAACATTGATCAACACAGCAACATTGATCACAGCAACATTGATCATCACAGCAACATTGATCAACACAGCAACATTGATCAACACAGCAACATTGACCAGTCTGAGGGGTGGAGACAACCGCATTAGTAAATGGTTTAACCCCTAACACTTAGTGTTGTGGAGATGCAGCAGTTGGAGACGTCATTACAGGTGGGCGGGGCCCACTTGTAAGGTATTTCCAGGTTATAAGTCCACTAAAGTTTGGTTATTTTAGGAGATAGTAATTATATTAAGTGGGAAGGTGGTGGGGAGAGTATTGGAAACATTGTAAGTGTTATTAAAAGTAACTTAGTGGGAAGTGCTAACTTATCTCCCGACCAGAGATGAAATCTCTGGCCAGGAAATAATAAGGAATGTATTCTTTAAGTC